GACCTGACACCACAAATAGCTCCAGTCCAACATCAAGTTACATTATCAGACAGTAATATATACATAGAGCATTAAACAATTCTTTTTTCTAGATTCTAGAGACGACCGATTTATCCATCGAAAAGAAATCGAATATATAGAAACTTAAGAACTTTTCTACTTAAGTGCCCTCCCTCACTGGGACGCCATCGCCACGTCGCCGGCTACGTATCCAAACAATTAGTATTCACATGTATGGCACCTCACTCACTTGGCGACGGTTTGGCAACGTCGCCAATTTGGAAGCGTAGCCACGACGACAGGTCACTTGGGTGGAGACTGGCTACTTGGCAAACCAAGGTCCAAGGTCAACGGTCCGCCAAGCAAGATGCCAAATTCGCGCTCATGGCAATAAGATAGCGAAAAATGAGTTTCGATACTGAGAGATTTATCGTAGAAATTCAGAATCGTCTCTGTTTATGGGATGCCTCGTTATCTGAGTATTCTGATCGTAATATGAAAATTTAATGTTGGGAAGAAATAGTAGATATCTTTAAAGAACCAGATAATATTACGGTTCAAGAAAAACAAAACGTTCTATTGACAACGCGTCCATTTTCTACAAGCCGAGAGAACTGACTGGCCAGAAAATGGCTGCTATTGGCTACTCCATTTGGCATCCGAAGGAAGCCAGAGGTAGCCATGGCTACGTAGCCGGCGACGTGGCCATGGCGTCCCGGTGAGGCAGGGCACTTATACTAAAGATGATAAAGGTCAATTAAAAATTCCAAATTCAAAAAGTTTATCATTACAACAACGATTAATTAAGTATTCATAAAATAATAAAATAAAAATAGTATTGCGTAGTTTATGTATAAGAATATGTAATTTGTATGAGGTTATTGAGGCCTATACACGAAGAAAATATTTCGGAGCGAGTCTTTATAACAGCTTGCCTCCTGAGATACGATTGGGAGATGAACTCTAATGCAATACCAGCGTACGACGGTGGCATGATATATTTTGCTTTTTATGTTTTTAATTTGTTTCTCATGTAACATGTTTTTAATTAGAATAAACTACTTTAAACATAAGTGATCAGCAGGCTAAATAGCTTTGTATAGCTACTCATTTTTAAGGTCGGGAATGTAGCATTTTCCTAAGAAATTAAAATACAGAAGTGCAAATGGATGAAGTTTTAAACTTTTTATCGTATACTTTATTTATCAGGACTAAAACTCGAACCTCCTTGACTTTTTTAAGAACATAAAGCAGGCTTTTCATACATAATAAAACACGCAGAGTGGTCAGAGGAGTTGTTCGGACTAGTTTAGCAGTTGTGTTTCATTACCGGACGTTAAGAAAGAATACAAAATACCATCCGTATCACCTCGACGTCCGTCGTTCCACAACTGAGCGTTTTTTAATGCAGTTTTAGCCACGCACCACCACTATGTGGAACCAGCTGCCCACTGAAGTATTTCCGAACCAATTCGACTTAGGGTCCTTCATGAAAAGGGTGTACCAATTTTTAAAAGGCCGGCAACGCACTTGCCTGGCCTCCTGACCGTTTGCCTCCTATTACATAAAAAAACGCATTTACATTGTTAAACTTTCACAGTAATTAATTAAAAAGAATTTGATTCTTATCTATGATTATGTAACATGATTAACTAGCTTCCGCCCGTTGCTTTACCTCCGTGGTTATGTTAATCATTTTAAAATATACATTACCAGCTTTCTACAAAAATCCATAAAGATAAAAAATATTACATAAAAAAGAAAATTATTAGTATTGTTATACAGAACTGGGCAGATGTTTGGCCACAATCCCACTGGACATTAAGTGAGATGTGGTCTATTGGAGGGCACGCCTGTCCAGAAGATGCCTGTTTAACCGCCGCTTAAATGGACCCATATTATACTGTCCATGGAAGATAGAAGGGCAAAGAACTCCACTCGTTTGCTGTTTTTATAAGAAACAAATGAACGAATTAGTAATCAATACATCGCTCAAACCTTTAAACATTCGATTGAACTAAAATGAAACATTCTTAATCGTAAACAACAGAGAGCAAACCCCTAAAGACGTGTGCCCACGCCCCGTTGGAGGGTTGGCGCACAACAAAGAAAATATTTCACGTGAACCTTTTGACTGATCCATGCACAATTTACTATAGAGTAGAGACTTTTTGGCCGTGGGGTTATGCACAGGCGCCAATTAAAGATTTAACTTGGCGCCTGGTAGGTAGTTTCGGTCACCCTAGAGCTAGTGCTTTCCTTGTTCAACGAATAAGTATAAGCGTTAAAGGTACACTGCCACAGGGACCAAACTTTTAAAATTTGTTTTAATTTTATATTTATTCATTTTTAATTATAAATAATTATATATTTTGATTATTATATTGTTAATAAATTAGTTAATAGTATAAAAAATACCCAGCTTATATGGTGAAAACACAATAGTGATTAAAAAATAATATTGTTCAAAACATCAAAAAAATCTGAAAGCTTACAAAACTTCAATTTTTTTCATAATAATTCAATTCAATTGAATTATTATGAAAAAAAAATTGAAGTTTTGTAGGTAACACAATGTACACTTGTGATTCGTCATTAAAGAAATACATATTAATGCTTCTAATTTTACATTTACTGCCAGTTCTCAAATCAAGGGCGTAGAACGGAAGAGAAGAACTGGCAATAAACTCTCCGCCACTCTTTTTATTATTTGATATATTTTTATTAATTGATATTTATATCTAGGTATATCTATAACATACACACACTAGAAATCGCGTGAATAAATCAGGCAAGCAAGCAAGCAAGCCATCTCCATCCTATATGAAAAAATATAAAACTATATTTTCGACCAAATAAAATTGAGAAATAAATATATTGTATACATTTTAATCAATATTTGAATGTTGTTGATGTTGACATCAGAGTATGTTGCTGTTATTGGCAGCTTGGTAAACTTAGTTCTTTCAGAACGTTACATAAGTCTTTAGAGACTCTTGAAAGAGTCCTTTCTAAACTCGTAAACTAAATATCAAAAGGCTGGTTAATACGACGATATTATAAAAGACAGTTCTTTTTTTTGTGGAAATGCATTTGCGCATCCCCTGCGCTCAAAAGTTGCAGGGGTATGAGGGACTCGACCCACACCTATATCTCTGTTATTCAAAGACTGGATGAGCAATACCCACTAAAACCACCTCGAGTAGTTCCTACAAAGCCACGTTACAGAGGCTCCGGGGACGCTGTCGCATTCTACCGGGACATAAAAGACAATACTACCAGACTATGTATTTCAAATTTAATCAAATTGCTCATTTTGTATTCTGATAATTTTGAGGCAAATAGATGACAAGCCACCCAGCAGTTTTTTTATCACTGATAGTACACATCTACAAGTAACTACAGGTGACAGGTACCTGATTCCTTAAATACTTGACTACAAATCAGATCATCTTTGTCCATTGTTGCCCTTGTATTAACGATACATAAATGCGTTCGTAATGATAAACAATAAACTACAAGCTCCCACCTTTTCAGAATGCAAAATCATAAAATGACTGCTTCACGACTGATTTGAGAGCGACCGCCGATGCGAAAACCGCTGTGTGAGTTCGAAAAGTGAGTTACAGAATCGCAGGGCAGCTCATTAATGAGTATTAAAACTCCCTTACGTTACCTTCTCTTTTAAATAATTATTAGTTCTCATAATCATAGAAATAAACGCTTCATTAAGATTAGTAAAGATTAACATGTATAACTACTAGAGATTTTTGACATGAAAGCATGTCATTTTCCTAATTCGCTAAGTTTATTAATTATATCTGTTATTATTTACAGCTTTATTTCAAATTAAGAACATGTAATTAACCACCCCCTTATCCTAGATATCCAAGATAAATAATTGTATATGTTGTAGACCTATAGAACTCAGTTATGAAGTTTAACCACGTATTATAACAGATTAAAAATATCCTTACCATAGATTAAGATATATATGTTTTGTAAATATAATTTAAAAAACGACTATACAAGTCTTAAAAAGTGTGTTTGTTTAAAATAATCAGCTACTGAGAGCTTCATACTCTACATAATATCCTAAACCCTGACTTTAGACAATGTGTATCAGATGTCTCAGTGGTAGTGGGAGGACTTATATACCGCGGATGCGAAGTCGTCTCTCAGTACGCTACCGCACTCGCGTGTTCATCTCCACCTGTATGTGTGTGATATTTGGATAAATTACCTGAATCGGTAAGTCTTTATTTATTTTTGAAGTCTTAAAACTTCTTTGATTTACCAAAGTTTTTATATAATTGTATATGTGAAGATGATAATTAAAAATAGTGGGGAACAGAAAATCAAAATTATAGCTATTTATATTAAATCCAAAAAACATCAGAACAGTTCTGTAATTTCAAATTCTACTTAAATAATTGTAGCATTTCCTTAATTAATTCTATTTAATTAATTAATTATAATTAATTTACTTATATAAGAATTATAAAACTATGGTTGGACCATCACAAATATTTTGTTATTTTCAATTGTTTTTACTAAAATCTTAATTGTAATTTAATTATATTATTTCTTGTGCATTTAAAGTATATCAAAATGTTGTTTTTCACACAAAATCTGTATTTGCTTAATTATTTCACTTTATGATGTACCCAAGGTCAAAATATGATTATGCACTATAATTTCGTTTCACAATTTATAATTATATTCGAGAAATAATTCTGTAATCGTGACAGATCTTCTGCTAGACCACAATTTGTATAATACTTGCGAGGAAAACATGCTTTAAATTATTAATGTCTAAATTTGCTGAAAACAAATAGGTTTAGATGCCCCCATTTAAACGGATTTAGCAACATTTAAAAGCTTAGGGGCCTGAACTAAATTGTCAATTCAAAACATACGCTGTTCATTTGACTAATAAACTTGTTTTTTGTCAATCATATTAAAAATAATTGTTTTCACAGACTGACCTACGACACAAGATGACGCAACTACAGATGCTGGTAATTATTATTTTTTATTATTAAATAATACTGATTTTATGAAATATGGTTCTTAGGACCTATGAAATTCTCAGCTGGTTAAAATATATTTTTGATAAAACACTACTACATTTGACGCATTCATAATTTTGTATTTAAGCCTTCGATACATTTTAAATGTATTCTTTTAGATAGGTATATATTCGTTAATAACGAGAAATGTCGGGTCGTAATTTTGGGTTTGAAACAAATAATTTTACAGGATTACAATGATAATTAAGTAATCTGGCAAAATGAAAACTTTGAAAAAATATTAATTACTAATAAAGCTAAACTATTTATTTTGTTACAACTTGTAACACCATGACACCTTTTTTTAATACTAAGAAAAATAATGTATCACTATTATATATATATATATCTTTTACAAAAATTTATTGGCCAATTTCTAAATATTTTAGGTGACTAATAAAATTTCACGTATGCGGGCAGACATATCGATTTTCGAAATAGAAGTATTTGTATTCTCTGTACGCGCGACTATAGTTTCATGAGGTGTATCCCGAGAGAAGGGCAGTTGCTAAACTCAATTATGTTTTAGATATTTTCTTTTACTTAACAGTGGCAAGACTTTTCTCTAAACACAAAATTATTATTTTAAATTATTGTTATGTTTTTCAGTATATAAATATAATAATATATCTTAATTTTAAAGTAAAAGGGGTTTTGAATTATCGATTGCTTTTTATATTAATATTAAATCCCCTTTATTTATAATAGTATGCATTGTACCTTCACTAAAACGTGTGTCGCAATTACACGAATCACTATTAAATATCTAAAACCTATTACTTAGAAAACGTAGTTGTCCTAGTGCTCAGGGATTCAAATTCTGACATAAGACTTACTTTTGCGAAATATAATTGTGACAAAAACCTCCTTTTTCAAATTATTTTTTTTTTAAATAAAATATAACAATATTTCTACAATGTCAATCTTAGGTTAATAAAGTATAGGGCAAGTCATCAAACTATGTTACGTGATCATTGCGTCAGTGTTGCGGTGCTGCGCGCCGGTATGTCACTTATTGTTAGACATTTATTGCTATGGGAAAAGCGACCTCAAACTCGCTGCTATTAACATACATAACTCAAGTGTTACCGATTGCTAACTAAGATATTAACAAACCAACGAGAACTACGCAGAATGGCATAATTCTGCCATTTTTTCATTACTAGAATTCGTGTGAATTGTAGAAACCTGAATGAGACAACTTTGTAAACAAAAACACTCTTTTTAAATTGTATTTATTTAGAATAGTACTTTAAGGTCTGTGACAAAATTTATGCGCCCGTTGTTAATTAAGCTCATTAAAAAATTATCTGTCAATTGTCACACATTTTTTGCTAAATAACAAAGACATAATAAAATGATTGATGACAGTTGACATGTTCATTATGAACTAACAGATTACATTAAATCGATAAATATGTTTTTTTGGCATTTTTGAGGTTATACTTTTCTTGGCGCGTTAGGGAAAAATGATGAGAGTAATTTTTTACGACGCGCGCGCACACCGTCACAAAAACCCGACACCCTGAAGTTAGCTATAGTCAACATTTTAGTTTTTTCTATTGTTAGTGTCGTTTTTTCACCAAGTAAGTATAACTTCTAACGCGTGTACATAAGTACACACGCGTTTTTTCAACGATACCGGAAATTCCTGCATTTTCTGACATACACTTTCGTTACTTCCTGGAAAAAATACATTTGAATTAGACAAAGCACTTAGCAAGAGCTCACTAGAAAGCACAAAGAAGGTCAAGGGCGTGCCGGCCCCGTGTGATGTAAGCACGGAAGCGCCTGCGCATCGTGCTCTATGCGTGTGACATAACTATTATGAATTTGACTAGTAATATTAATTTTCCTCATTTCATATAACGGTTTTAATCACTTAAGAGTTAAATTGTCAATAACGCCCTGTTTTTTTTTAACCTATGAACTGAAAATAGAATTTAACTTTTAATACGCGTAGCTTTTAAATTACTTATGTGATTAATTAATAAGTAGTTAAGAATTTGAGAGAACAAACAATAGTCTTAAACACTAATGAATATACCACTTCGTAATATGCAAAAATGCTTTCTTGCCTTAGAAAAGGCTTTGCAAAAACATTATAGAAACAGAATTCTCACATTAACATGTTCTACGAGAAACTTTTTGTCAACTATTGTAAACATTGTATTGTAAGGAGACATGATCTATGAGTCGCTTAGTGTGGAGACACGACACTTAACAAAACGTCCACAAAACATTGGACAGTTTCACTTTAGTATCACGCGAGGGCGAGAATGTTTATCTGTTTCTGTTTAAGAAGAAATTTATTTAGCAATAACTAACCCAGAACCATTTATACGTAGATTTAAACTAGCTGTATCTAGAAGTTATGTTATAAACGGGACCACAGAGTTATTCTTAGTGACAACAGATTTTTGTTAAGTGTAGTAAACTATAGACAATTAAAAAAATACACGGCCATTGTTGTCGTGTTTACAGATGAATTTAAACTGCCTGAGACGAGAAATAGAAGTAAGCTGACTCATAAATAAACCGTGAAGAGTCCATTCAAAAATGTTTACCTAGTACAATTCGTTCCACGATTTATCACGGGGATATTCTTTCGCATAATCATTCATGTTCACATTCTCAGGCGCTGAGAAGACTTGCCAAGTATCTAATCTAGCCTTTTTTATTCTATATATATATTGTTAACAGACTCAAAGATCATATGAAAGAGTAATTTTTTCACTTCATATTTTTATAAAACATTCTAAAAAATATTGCGTTATATTTAAAACCTACTAACTACAATACTTTGATTGTAAAACTACACGAGCTACGTAAGCCTGGGTCAAAGTTCATACAACCTTATTAGTTACATAACATGATAGGCATCGTACATCACCGGCATTCGACCTCAAAGCACAATAAAATCGTTACTAAGCCGTCATTGTAAAGTTAACAAATAAATACTATCATACTGTTGATGACTCTTACTTTCTATACACGTGAGTGTTATGTCAGAGTTCTAATATTCAGCAATGCATATTCTTGCTGTTTGTGCACATAAAATATGGCAATTATTAATAAGATCTCGGCCAAATCCAAGCAGGTCACGTGGAACGAAAACAATTTGAGTTTCTTTTGTTCCAATTAAGATCCGTTATTTTTGCTGCAATATAAAATAAAACGATGCCTTATTTCAACTATAATACAACTTCAACGCCAGTATTGTTTGCCTAGTGGCTTTAGAGTGCGACTCCCATCCTTGAGGTCGTAGGTTCGATCCCCGACTGTGCATGGACTTTCTGTCTATGTGCGAATTTAACATTCGTTCAAACGGTGAAGGAAAACATCGTGAGGAAACAGGATTGCCCAAAAAGTCGACGGCGTGTGTCACTTGCCTATTGGATGACAAAGGATCATGAGCCAGATACAGAAATCTGAGGCCAAGACGTAAAGAGGTTGTAGCGCCACTGATTTTTATTTTATATTTTTAAAACCTTATAGTTAAAATATCATCCTCTAGTAACGTAAAACTATTTTTATCTTTATACATTCGAATTAAAAACGTCGCGATAATAGATTTACCTCGCGTGACCTTCTGTTACCTTACATAATAATAACAAAAAGTATAGAAAGTTCTTAGCGGAACCCATCAAGTTCCGCGCTCCGTTCATCTTCCTTATAAATCTCGAACCGCGTGTGAATTTGTCTCAATATCAAGACGTGTTGCAACAAAAAGATGCTGCATTGTTCCATAGATTCGCGTAATAAATTAAACCGGTTGCTGCACAATTTGGGAACAATACTGAGTCTTGCGTGATGTGGATTTACTCTCAGAAGCCCCTAGTTCCCGTGAGACGCATTCAATTCGCGGATTGAGGCAATCTATCATTTGCATATACAGTATAAACCTTAGTTTAACATGATAGCAATTTCATTCGGCTATTTACGAGCCATATTTCCTCTTCCTTATTTTCCTCAGTCTAAATCAGTGGTGCCTTTTTAAGCGTGAGCCTCAGATTTGAGTCTGTTCCATGATAATTTGTCAATCTAATGGGCAAGGAGGTGATCAGCATCCTGTACCTGAGACTCACGATGTTTTCCTTCACCGTTCGAGCGGGTTAAATGCGCATATAGAAAGAAAGCCCATTGGTGCACAGCCGGGATCGAACCTACGACCTCAGGGATGTCGCACACAGAAGCCAATACTGCTCATATGTTAGTACGTGGAGGAAAAACATTGTTGAGAATCCCGTCTAACTATCAATTAAACTTTTGATAAGTGATATACCACACATCTAATTTTAATATACATTATAAAGAAAATAACATTATTTAGGAAATAAATTTAATTATATTTAAAAAATACTTGCTTTTGAAAAAATATTGTAATGGCTCGCGTGTCATGTGCGTTTAAGTGTGAAGGTGCTATATCGATAAATCACACTTTAACAAGGCTTTGACAGCCTATTAAAAGATATAATTGAATGTATTTCTTATCAAAATTAGCCATTAATTACCATAATATTTGAATAATCTAATGAAATTTATAGGGTAATAATGTTTAAACTAAAAACTAATTGAGACTATTGAATTGAAGACTCATATCGGTTTTTAATTATTATGTATTTATTATTATTTATAATTAAATACTTAACATCATACATAATGCTATATCTATAGTATATGTTACATCTTTTATAAAATATTTGTTAATTATAGTAAACATAAATGATACAAAAAATTAAAATATAGCAAAACAGCGGATTAGGTATCAGATAGGCACTCAACAATGTTTTTTTTAATTGATCAGCCCACTACCGAATATGTACTTACAGTGTTTGTTAAAATATATACTTAAATAAGGTTGTTAAATTATGAGACAAAATGACCTTCCACAGCCAATTTACTCTTATTTCGTAAATACAAAACCACTTATTAAGTAATTAAGGTTTAATATCGTAATTGTTAATTTCGCCTTAAATTTTGAGCGTCATTCGCTCCTTTGTTCTCTGCGCCACATTATTGCGTAAAAGTCAACTAAGCGATGATATTTATAAATTTCAAAATAATTAAGAAAATACGCAATAGTTAATTTCTAGTGCAATGCCTTTAAATGTCTTGAATATTAAGAAATATTATTATTTGTTATAATATAATTTTAATTTATAGCAGTGTTGGCCTAGGCTTCGGCGTGCCCCTCTCATCCCTGAGGTCGTAGGCTCGATCCCCCGCTGTGCACCAATGGACTTTCTATCTATGTGCGCATTTTATTCGTTCGAACGGTGAAGGAAAACATCGTGAGGAATCCGGCTTTTGACCCAAAAAGTCCACGGCATGTGTCAGGCACAGGAGGCTAATCGCCTACTTGCCTGTTAGATTGACAAATGAAACAGATACAGAAATCTGAGGCCCAGATCTAAAAGGGTTGTAGCGCCACTGATTTATTTTTATAATTGTAATCTACTCAAATTTCTGCGAATCGAACAATTTGAGGATTGAGAATTACTTAACCTCTGAAAGAGGCCTTGATGAGAGACCCGTGATGGGATTCTGATCTAATGAAGGAACTGAAGGAAGCTAGGATATCGAGTTTGTTCATATGTTGTGCATATGTTACACATTTGTAAAGATTGGAAATAAACGGGCTTTAATATTATTATTATTCACTTATCCACTGGGAATCAGAATACATTCATGAATCTCTTTAAATTTAAAATGAAATTTAAAATACCGTCTTATAAATTTTAAATTTATTTAATATTTAATTAACATATAATTCCAGGATTAACTTAGATGTATAGGCGTGCATCGTTATGTAATTGTTTATTTATTTAGTTGTTTAAAAACAATAACATTTTCCAACCTGTAATTGAATAAAAGTCGGTAATCGATAATACAGTTTAATTTATGCCGTATGCGTTGACGTCACCGTCTCCACGTACGTACATAAATCTTTAATTTTCTATTATCTGTTCGAAATACAAATTCATCAGGTAGATATCGTTGGATCGTTGACTGTTTACAAAGTGCCGTAATCAAATAATTTAAACTTTCATCTATCTTGAGATAATGCCTGAATCCTAAACATTCATCAGTATTCATTTGTTATTCTGAGTTTACGGAAGTATGCGTGTTGCATCTACCAGAAATGTTATTTTACCTATATCAAAGTCAAAAATCACAAAAACACAATGTACACTTATGAACGTCAAAAAAGAAATAAACATTAAATGCTTCTAATTTTACATTTACTGCCAGTTCTCAAATCAAGGGCGTAGAACGGAAGAGAAGAACTCTGCCACTAATTTTAATCGCCAAGTTTTTTGTTTTACACAACCATTGTAAGGAGCTGCAACCATTACACCATGTTCCACATGACATCTTAAGTAATAAATAATAATAAAATAAATAAAAAATATGATTTGTCCTCTATCAGCAGGAGGCATGGTGAAATAGGAGCACGCACTTACATTCTTGAAGGGATTACCTTTGAACAATGTTCAATGAAAAACAATTACAAAAATTTATTAATAAAAATTACTTTATTTTCAGGTTGTGGGCGTCCTTTTGGCAACGGCTGCGGTATCGGCAACACCACGCAAACACTACAAACGAGATGGTAGGTTTTCTTCATTTAGACATTCTCAAAATGATTTATAAGTCTAGGAAACTCTCATCAATTCATACCTCTTACCTTTGTCTACAGCGCCGCTGAGCTCATCCTACCTTCCGCCGTCCAGCGGTGGCTTCGGTAAACCTTCCTCGTCATACGGTGCGCCAAGACCCTCCAGCAGCTATGGTCCTCCCAAACCAAGCTATGGACCTCCAAAACAAAGCTATGGACCTCCAAAACCAAGCTACGGACCACCATCTCGCCCGTCTCCATCTTATGGACCCCCGAAACCAACTTACGGAGCTCCAGCTAGGCCTCCATCTACTAGTTACGGTGTGCCTACGGGACCATCCTCGATATACGGAGCTCCTAAACCATCCAGCACTTATGGGGCACCTTCATCTGGTTTCTCTAGTTCCTCAGGATCATTCTCTGGCTCCTCATCTAGTTCATTTTCTGGATCATCATTTGCTGCCCCTTCAAGCTCTTATGGAACTCCATCCAGTTCTTATGGCGCACCTTCCAGCTCTTACGGTGCTCCAGCCGCCCCTTCCAGCTCTTACGGTGCGCGCCTTCAACATCTTATGGAACACCAATTGATTCATATGGCGCACCCGCACCATCATCATCTTACGGCGCCCCATCTGGAGGCTTTGGATCTAGCCACAGCTCAAGCAACTCTGGGCATGGTAGCAGTTTCGGTTCTGGTCATGGAAGCAGCTTTGGCTCTAGCCACGGAAGTAGCGACTTTAGCAGCTCTGGTTTTGGAAGCAGTGGTTTCGGATCTAGTGGATCCAGTGGACTATCATCAAGCTACGGCGCACCAGCTGCACCTTCTAGTAGCTATGGAACCCCATCAAGCTCGTACGGTACCCCATCAAGCTCATATGGAACCCCTTCAAGCAGCTACGGTGCACCAAGTGGTGGTAGCTTTTCGAGTGGCCATGGATCTGGGGGCTTCTCGTCAGGTGGATTTTCTGGGATTTCCGGTGGATCCAGTTATTCTTCAGGTAGTTCCGGCGGCCATAGCTCTGGTGGTTCAGGTGGTTACTCGTCCGGAGGTGGTTATTCATCAGGTGGTTCTGGCAGCCATAGCTCTGGTGGTTCAGGTGGTTACTCGTCCGGAGGCGGTTATTCATCAGGTGGATCTAGCGGTATCCCCGCTACCATCAACCAAAGCTACGATTCCAACGGCGGCTATGTTTACTAAAGCTTTGAACAGATTAAAAATAAAACACGCTGAGAGCGTTAACCGGGCTCACGGTAACTTGATGCGAACTCACCAATGTCCAAACCTGACTCTCTAAATTTAGTTTCGTCAATACTCATAACTTTTAGTAGCATACTTGATTGCGAGCCTAAAGTTGAGTATCACAATCATCCTGAAACAATTGAAGTGCTTACATAGGAACACTGCAGTACTAATAATATTTTAATGAGCACATATGTAATGTCTATGTACCATTTAATAAATAACAAGGCATAAATAACAATAGTTGCACCGGAGTAGATGTGTTTGCTTGATGATGTATGTATTTAACGAACGCTATTCGACGATGTTCAAGTATTATTTAATTTTAAAACTGTACAAAATGTAGTTGTAAGAACAAATTATTTTGTATGAATTAAAGAATGTGGTTATATATTTTCTCTTTTTTCAAGATCTTTGATACTCCATTGTTCCTTGAAGGTTATAAACAAAATGAGGAAATTAAACAAAACAGCCAGTCAACGTACTATATTTTATCAGTAACGCAGATTACTGCGAAATTGCTACAATACACATTTATACACATTTCAAATGATCAACAAGAACTAGGATATATCTACTATCTAACAGTGGCCGCACGACGCGGAAGACACCACCGTACCCTCTATGACCTGTCAAACTATCAGACCAATAAAAGTCGATATAAATTAAACTTCCTATAACACAATTTTTTATAGACTTAAACAATATAAAATGTGATTTTATATATAATTTTAGCAACATATTGGCGATTTATGGGTAATTCAGAAAGTCCGTAAGCCAGGGTACAGCGATGTCCATTCCTCACATATCTACAGACAATATATTTTTGACAATTTACTTAAAATAGTTACAGGTCAACAAGATTCAGAGTCGAGACTTAGCATAATCTATGATTGTCGTATGTCAAAATAGAATACGTTTTTGACATACTTAAACACTAGGACTAAACCTCAACTTTATCTTTATTATTTCGGCCATATTTAAGCCCTTTAAGAAATTCAGTAGACAGTAGCAGGTCACTAAAAAGTTTATAGTCCGTAGGTGAGTGCGCGCCGTGAGTCGAAACAACAACAGTCATATAAACTAGATACACTTAACATTAGTGATATGCATCTTCTAGGACTATCGTATATTCACAATTATCTTAACAGCAATAAGTCTGGAATGATATGTTTCGTTACGTCTGCACAGAGTACAGCGAATCACAACTTGTATAAATATAGAATTGAGATATAAACACGACCAGAATGGATTTTTATGATTTAGAATCATTACAATCTCGTGTTACAATTTCCCTTTGATGGACTTTTGTATGTTCTGACCCTTTTTTAAAATCCAATATCCAGTATACTGCTTATACATCGTTTCATTATAATATATATTGTATATTGAATACATTCAACGATTTAAAGCTGATTATTATAACCTACTATGTATAGTAGAAAATAGCAACCAGCCATTGATATACATTAAAAAAGCCAATAAAACCATCGAATATTTATATAAATAGTAAATTTTATAACAGATAAGCGTTTACAATAATTTACGTTATGGAGGGAAGGAAACATTTAGATTTCAACACCAAAACACATGACATCTACTAAATGCTAATTGCATTGTCTATGACAGTTTGTCACAGAGTATGTACTGTAGTAATATATTATATGGCTTAAAATAAATTTCAGAGGTCCGTTTAGTTATAGCTAGTGCTGGAAAAACTGTATTGCGACATTATATGAATTCAGCGCTACAGTGTATCGATCAAACCACGACGATAAAAATTGGTCAAGTAAGAATCGCAATTTTATTTCTCTATTTGTCTTTAGCTACAGATTATGCAATAGAGCATACGAATGGCGCGAAAATATTGACAAAACATTCTTCATATAAGTATTTAGGATTTTTGGATATTTTCCTTCAGAATAAATGCGTTTCTGCTATATGCCCTTTTTAATGAAACTAAGCTGAACGCATTTCATATCATATAGCTCGAGTCATTTAGCCCACTAAGTACATGTCGCAATAATATATAAAAACCATTCGAATTTTTAAAATATCTTGTACATTAAATTATGAATATCAACTTAGACTAATATTTTAATAATTTATTAAAAATCTGACTGCTTGTGCTTTTAGCCTTATGGTCCTTGGAACCAAAACTTTGAACTATTTTTAAATAAATATTTTGTCACGTTTATGATATGTAAACGTTCTGTCGGCAGCCAACCGTGCTTAAATTTTTATATTTTTCGTCGTTCATTTATTTTTGTCTAAAAATTATTTTACCCATTTACTTATAAATAAATGTTTCCAGAACGTACTTTTTTCGACTTTTTAGAAAGCGTTATAATTGTCCGATACTTTAAATTAGGTGATGTAAAGAAAATGGGGCATGAGGAAGAGATATGGTTTTTGGTATTTTGTTTAAATTATTTAATAAGATCAGTTACAAAGCCAAAACGGAAAAACTGTGCTAGAAATAGAACCATCAAGTTATACGCCATTAACACGAACGAAGGCTGTCATAATGACGTGACCATTTAAAAGAGATAGGTCCCTCCGATAAGTTCAGGAAGGTTATAGAAAGGTTCTACTTTGTGAAACTCTAAATTTTTTAAGGTAAATTTAGCTGCCGACATTTTGTGCTAGTAAGCTTGTGCGAAATACAATTCGTATCGCGATAATATATTAAATATAACCTCTGTAATATAATTACTGTAAAAATACTAAAATACCTAAACTTACTGAGTAAATTCTGATATTCTCAATGATATGTACTTGTTTCAGTAACCTATATAGTAATTTCAAACTCATTGTATAAACTCTAAAAACCTAACAGTTATACGCAGATCTATATATTGCAGATTACATCAAATTCGTCCTATACCGTGTGTCACTCGTAATGTACAATAATCGTGTGCACACACTCATATAATTGACATAAATAAGGATCATAAACACGTGTAAATAATTTAACAATAGTCTAACATCGATTCACAACATGATATGTTTTGTTTCTCACACCGCTCTACAAAATAAATTCTCTTAAAATTAAACTAGTGAATTATTGCTTCGTCATAACGAGCGTATCTGTGCTTCGAAAGTTGTTCGTCGTTTTATTTGAGCATTACGTCCGATATATATCTGCTTATCGAAATGAGTCATGTGCAGTCTACGTAAAAGCATCAAAAACACTCACTTAGTGATTTCAGAAGGCGGTTTGCTTCCCGAGGGGGTGGGAGGGGGCGCTGTTACCGAAGAGGGGAGTGGGGCCGTCGTTGGGGTCATCGAGATCATCGTCGGTCTCGAGGGCTGGATTAATACGACCTGTGCTCTCGTCCGGTCCGACCAGGGTGGAAGCGGCCCCGTATAAACGGCCGGGTACTCCTCCAAGCACAGACATCTGCTCGCAAGCTTCTGAAGGCTCGTCGACTCGTCGAATGTCCTCAGGGATGTTGACCACACAATTAAAATAGTCCGACTCCGGGCTCAGGTAACCGGAGTTGAACAAAAACCTATACAGTACAAAAATCTTCAGAATATTCATTTTAACATATACAAACTCTATTTTAAACCTAGATATCCTATCAGTAAACATATTTTGCCATCTTATATTCCTACGTAATTGCTATTGATGAATTTAGATAGTATATTCGCGGGCACTTGGGTCCGATGCGACTTCTTCGAAACAAAAAGTACCCTTGGTAGTTGTGTGCTGTGGATATTTGAACGCGATTGTGAGGAAGTCGTGTGGATCTGGTTAGCGCTGCACCATCTTTTATTTCTTTTTTAATGTAATAGGAGGCAAACGGGCAGAAGGCTCACCTAATGTTAAGTGCGGTGGTATTACCCATGGAAATTCACATAGACAAAAGCTTCGCATGTGCGTTGCCTTTTAAGAATTGGTACGCTCTTTCTTCTAGAACCCTAAGTCGAATACTTCAGTGGGCAGCTGGTTACTTCTTAATTCTCATTTCATTTTCACACGTTTGCATCCTTTTTCTAACATATAGGTTTCATTTTAACATGTCTTTCGTATAAATTGGAAACGTTTTATATAAATAACATAAAGCCGCAGAAAGGTAAATTCATAAATAATAATTGGGCTGAAAATCCTGGGAATGTTTGGTGAATTTTCCGTAATTTCTGTGATATTTCTCGACATTCTATTTAATGAGCAAACAACACGGGAACAGAAGCCTGAGTTCGGAACAAAATAAAGGTCAAATGTTAAATATACATTGATCAAAGAGAATATTTCCTCCGAATTTTGTTATCAATATGATTTTTATGCAATAATAATGATTTGCTTGTAAAAACACAGACTTTTGATAAGATTCATCAAAAATCGTTTTGGCCTATTATGGCCTTCCGTTTCTATCTACGGATAACAATACTACGGAACTACTAATAGATATAATACATTTTATCCCCCACCTACATTTTACTCTGTTGAACTATCAACTAACAAAGCACTGTGTGTGTCACTATCGTAAACGTTGGCACATAACACCCCAATGGGTGTGTTAGTAAGCGGATGTTCTGTTTTTTTTAAAGTATCTTTCATAACTAGTATAATCGTTATAAATAATAATGGTTATAAAACAAATCAAGAAAACAGCGTACCAAATCTTAAAAGACCGGCAACGCTCTCGCGAGCCCTCTGGCATTGAGTGTTCAGTATCACTTCGATAAGAAAAATCGCTTTGCCATTTTCAATTCCTTAACTTTTAGAACCTTACATATTATATTTTGTTAAATTTACTTACACTGATAACCAAGACACAAATGCGAGTGTAAATAGCGACAGGGTCATCGCAAGAGTCCTGAAGGGGAAGAGCTGGATTTCGTTCTTCTCATCCCAACCAGGGAAGTGTATCAGTGCAGGCAGACCCAGCAGCTTTTCACCACCCGAGAGGCGCACAAACAGAGCCACGATGTAGGCAGCAAGGGAACCATAAGTGTTGCAGTGCCGCTTGAAGTGTACCACCATCAGCAATTGGGGGAACAGGATCACGTATACCAGGTCTGAACACATTGACCTGCCATCAAAACAAAAGTTAGTCTAATTAAGGTAACACTAACGCCACCAGACGTCCCGTTTTGAACGGGACTGTCCCTTTTTCCAATTACGAGTCCCGGTGTCCACGAAATGGGACGCAAAATTGTCCCGTTTTCAGAAACTGCGCACAGGTATAAAAAAAACAGCAGAATATAAAAAAACGTGCCAAGAGTTTCATTCTTATTTGAAATCGTCACCGGCTATATTAAAACAAATTTGTTCTTGTGTTAAATATAAATATAGCTAAACATTTTGGGTACCTATATTATGTGATTCGTAACTTTTACGCCAACTAACTTTTTCTAAATAAATAACATTAAAAAAAAAATTTTATCGACTAATTATTTGACCTAAATTAAACCAATGTCCCGTTTTGAGTCAAAAAATGGTCACTTTAAATTAAGACCAACGTAACAATTTTTTGTAAAGAGTACATTGTCTTTACCCTCGGCTTAATATATTTCTTGTTTATAAGTTGTATTACACGATTACGTATGGGGGTAATATACTATTTAAAAATGCACATAGAAAAGATTATTGGCTCGCAAAAGGTTTTCTCGTAATTTTATTAAAAAAACTTAATTGTATAATAGTTTTATAATATTTTAGTTGAAGTTTGGCCCACGCATAATAATCATAAGCTTTTAGAGAATTACAGTGGTCGATCATATTTATATCAAGGAAGGCTCTAAAGAACTCCTCCTTCAGGGAAGCAAAGAAAGATTACTATTATTTTAACTATGAATTTAAGAATATTACATTAACATTTATATACACTCACTCTTAATGAGATTTAAGTTTCTATTATTTTTGTTATTGTTTTATTCATGATTGCTTGTTTAAATTTTATGCTCTTATATTAGTTTTAAAAGAGTACCGAGAGTTTTTTACGCCGGCTTTTTCTCTCGGCCTACACCCTTTGTCTTCTTTGCCGATGAGTAGGGATGCCTTCAAATTTAATGACGTGGAATAAGTGATACATGTATCTTATGTTCCATAATAAACATTTTTTTTTTGATAATTGATGTGTATGTGTGAATAATTTGTGATGTCATATTTTCTTGTATATTTTAAGAATACATGTTGTTTAAGGGCTTATAAAAAAATTCATATAACTTTATAAAACATCGTTTGCGTTGTTTGATGTCCTGAAAATATCAAACTAATATTTCGTTGGAAATCCAATATAGTACCTTCTGGTAAATGGATAAGATTGCGAACGTTCGATTCAAAGTTAAGTTATTTTCTCAAAGAATTACATTCACTTAGAGAGAAAATTAAAGGTAGGTAATTTGTGAACATCGTGTTATCAAATTATTAGAAAATGAGCTATATAAAATAATATTCGTAAAGAGACAAAAATAAGAATATGTGCATATTTATAATATACAACAACCAAATTACAGAATATAAAAGTAATAATAACTTAATAACCTTAAAAAATATAATATGATAACTAAAATATATTACTAAAATTAGTCCCTTTAGGCGACTAATTTTCCCGTTAGTGCGATCTACCTGGATCGCACGTTTATTACATAATTCTATTTTGTCAGGAGCAGTAAAATCTATCGGATCTAAAACAACACAAAGCGAGCTAAAACGTTCCAATTATTCCGATTGGTATTTTCTATTAATCTAATTAAATATGAAAGGTCAGATGATATTGATCTCGAGTTATTTGCGATTCGGAGAACGGACAATATCGATTGCGTTTAGTGCTCGCACTCATCGCATTCCGTTGATTGCGAAATCCGAGTAATTGGACGACTGTAAATCAGTAATCTGATGATGCAGCCTATGGTTGAATATTATTTTAAATTTGAATATGCTTTGTATAAATACAATTAAACATGTAAATTTTATTGATACTGCATCTACTTAATATTTATAATATTGTAAAATCAACTGAAGTTATTAATAAAAATTTATTATCTACGTATGTTATCTAAGTATGATACATAGTACCTACTGCAGCGCCATCTGCTGCTCTGATTTGTGAATCGAAACCATCCAGGGCGTCACCCAAACGCATACAAAATCATTCCAATCGGTCCAGCTGTTTAAGAGGAGTTTAGTGAAATACACACGTTCAGCAGAATTATATTTATAAAGATATTATATACCTACATATTAGCTCATACAGTTTCTTCTTGTCTCCCTTTCTAAAAGTTTATTGTTGTAGTGTGCTGATCTATTTATAGTACCTAGTATAGTCCATTACATATTTTACCTTTTTTAAATAAATTTATTGATTTATGAATTAAAGTACACATCTTGGGGAATTATTTCTTAAAAATAATACAATCAGGACTGCATGGAGGCAATTTTATGTCACCCCTCCTGGAGATCAATTTGCCTGAGAAAATTTCACGAACTCGTGGCAGAGACGTATTGGACGTGTGTGACGTTACTCCGTCCTGCTGGAACCATGTTCTTTGGTTATAGCCTGGAAAGTTTTGACGTTCAGGCACCAAGAAGTCGTCTAACATTTTCACATAACGCTCTGCCCTGCGATTCTGTAACTCACTTTTCGAACTCACACAGCGGTTTTCGCATCGGCGGTCGCTCTCAAATCAGTCGTGAAGCAGTCATTTTATGATTTGGCTTTCTGAAAAGCTGGGAGCTTGTAGTTTATTGTTTATCACAATGCCAAATCATTAAATTACTGCTTCACGACTGATTTGAGAGCGACCGCCGATGCGAAAACCGCTGAGTGAGTTCGAAAAGTGAGTTACAGAATCGCAGGGCTGAATTGAAATGTAAGCTTTCTTTTGATACACCTGTTAATTAAACTTTGTTTCGTTTTTGCTTGAGGTGCAACTAATAAAAGTTCAAATTCTAATAAAACATTTAAGCTGCAGTGTTTGGGTGCACTATTTAATTTTGAACAAAATTTCTCTTGACATTAATGAGTTTCAATTAATTATGTGATATTATAGTTTTAATGAACACGAGCGCATATGCTGTGATTGTTAACGGTTAACAATATAATAGATTGGCTAGTTACATAATAATAACTTAATATGTTAAGGGAGTTTAAACAACCAGGTGGAAATTTTTGTGTAAGTAATAATCTTAAACATAGTAAAATTAATAACAATCAACTACAAATTGCGTTCATTTACAAATAGCGTGCTAATTAAAAGCTCTGTAGCTTTTGAATACAAGCATTATTACTTTTATAATTTTTACATGCTATTAATTTGTTAGTATAAAAGTTACACGAATTGTAATTAATGTGTTCGTTTGCGATTGGTATAAATGTTTATATAAACGCGCAACCAGTATAAGGCTGAATTTAAGCACTCTCGTATGTCAAACTATTTTGACATACAGAATGTCATCGGACGTCGAGGAATAATATGAAATTCCACCCATATCACCTCGACGTCTATCCACAACTGAGCGTTTTTTAAGACAGTTTTAGCCGCCCACACACAACCAGCTGCCCACTGAAGTATTTCCGAACCAATTCCACTTTGAGTTTTTCAAGAAAAGAACGCTCTATTAAGCCAACCAACCAACCAATTCTAAAAAGGTCCGGTACGCATTCACGAGTGATCTAGCATTAAGTGTGTCCATGGGCGACTGTATCACTTAACATCAGGTGAGCGTCGTTTCGTCGTTCTATAAAGAACATGTCATATAACATTTCGTCAATTGATTTCGGTTACATCGAACAAGTTACATAAGGAATGTGCATAGTGTGCATTTGCCTGACTTATCACTCGGTAAATTCTTATTGTGGAAGAAATAAATTTAAATCCTAAGATGTTGAGTTTAATGTTAGCAAAGCCTGAGAAACTTGCACTTAAAAAAAATATGTTTATTATGGAATATAGGATACAGGTATCACTTATTCCACGTCATTAAATTTGAATCGGCAGACATCCATACTAATCGGCAAAGAAGACAGAGTGGGTAGGCCGTGTGAAAAAGCCGGCGTAAAAAACTCTCGTTACTTTTTAAAATAGCAAATCATCAAACAACACTTATTTTAAAACAAATATCGAAAATAATTAGAAGTAGCCTGTCTAACACTAGTCCCAGGCCCTTTTGGAAAGGGCTATCTGCACCTAGTGTGGGGGCTAGTGCACTTTTTTTATTTTAACTAAACATCATTTTTGATTATATGTAATAAAGTTTTCTTTTTCTTTTGTTATTTTCTTTAAAAATCTAATCACGTTTTTCTTGAAAGAATTTTGATGAATAAACGAAAATAAAATAATCCATAAGATCCACCGTTTGGTCTATTAGGTACACTTGGCAATGCACCAAGTATATGTTGTTGGCTACATACGAACATAATCAGAGATATAGTAGATTTGGAAAGCTAAGAATGTCACCGAAATCGTACTGAAATGCGATTAGTAAACGTTTATTCTTAAACGCAACATATACTTGAATTACAATGGCGTACCTATACCATCTGCGGCCCGTGGCAAATTCTTTTGGGACCCTATCAGTAAAAATCGACACGTTGTACTCAGTTTAATTTTAATAAACTTCGAGATTTTCAGCGTACTCAATTACACGTTGTATATGTCCCACTAAGGACCACAGGCTTCCTCTCTTAGGCGAGAGGGAATGGTCTGTAGTCCCAACGCTAGCCCAATGCGTATTGGAGACTTCACATTCATCCATAGAACATTATATCTCTTGGGCAGGGGCCCTCTTGGGTCGGGGGACCCGTGGCATATTGCCAGATTTTTAGAATTGTAGGAAATTAAATCAACATAATATTACTTATTAGCCATAATTATTGTATACGCTAGATTGTAATTCGTGTAAAGTCGAACTCTTTTTTGTGAACTTTATTGTAGGAAAAAAAATAGTAAAAAAATTAAATTTGATTTCATCATCAAACCTCGAAAGCCTACATTATCCTACACCCATACAGAATTTTTGGATCGTTATTATTATTACTATTAAGATCCTACTTGTTGCTTAACGATGGTTCTGGACTACTGAGCCGATTTGAAAAATATTGTTTACGTGATTACCAGAGGTTATCAAATATTTTCAAAAATTACAGATTCGAAAACTTCGTTTGTGTGATCCAACGTGAGAAAAATAGCAACTAAAAATCCTACAAGCTGTGGAAACTATTGACAATAGAGCAAAGTAATGCACTACAGTATAATAGAAGATATCAATATCTAAATAAAAATATACAGTATACAATATACATATCTAACTATTACAGTTCATAAGTAACGTAATATTGTCAAAAGCAAATTTGACTCAGGGATTAGCATGGATAAGCCTGTATCTGTGCGAAGGTAGGCCGTTAGTAGAGATATATTTAGAACAGCCACCATAAAATGCTTTAATAGAAATGGCACGCGTTTAGTACACCTGCCGAGGCCATCACGTATGTTTGCGCAAGTGATGGACTCACGCGCACAATCGGCAGTAAAACCATTTGCGATCTCATTCCCGCTCTAATGTGTACTTCGCATCATCATCTCACGTTATTAACCCACTAAACCCCAACCTTGGGTGGGAAGAGAATGGCGAAGCAGTGCCATATCGTTTAAAAAATCAGTCTCAAGATAGCGATCTGGCTAAAGCTATAAAAACAGTGTCGGTATTAGATTTACTCGACTTTTTTTTTAATAGTACATCAGACTTTTTGTGTACACGCGAATTCGATTTTTATAAGGTACTGCTGCCCCCGCGAACTTCGTTTCTCCTTAATGCCTAGCCTACCTTTTTAGTACATACTATCATGAAACATTCTGCTATGCTACCAGAGACTGTTCGGTTTTCCAGAATGAAAACTTTTCTGTGATTTTTCTCTATATATAAACCTCAGAGTTCAAGTTATAAGTTTTGAACTAATAAATAGGGGTTGATCATAGAGGGTAGATGAAAATTGAGGGTTGTATGTTGTATCATAAAAAAGAAGAAGGATAGATAGTAGCCGATTTCCAGACTTACTGAATATGCATAAAAAGTTTCACGAGAATTTTGTATATTAGATAAGGCATGTCTGTTTCCTCACTATGTTTTTCAACGTACGAGTATTAATAATGTGCATATAGAAGGAAAAGTCAATTGGTGCAGCCGTGATCGAACACACTACCCCTGAGTTGAGAGACAGAATCCACTAGACCAAAAGAAATCGCTATTCCGTGGCAAAAATTATTGTTTTTAGAGCTAATTAAAATTTGACATTTATGACATATAGGTTTAGATGCAGAATCGATACTTGGCGCTAAGGATGACGTCTAAAGGTGGGAACTGACCAAAGTTACGAGGTGTAATGTAGCATTCGCATCGAGCGTGTTACGCATCGAGCATGTTACGCTGTGTTCTAAAATCGGCATAAATATATATCGACATAAAACTTATTTAAAAACACAGGCGTATGAGGTGGTTTGTTATTGATTGCAATATTAAAAACCAAATGATTACTGGACAGTATAAAAACTTTGTACGCAGGTCTCGATTTTGAAGAACTGTTGAATTTAATTGGACCAAAAGTACTTAAAAAAGACACAATTTATAGAAAATCATAATCATGATCACTCGCGACGTGCGACGCGTAATTACTGAACCGCGTAACAGTCAAAGGATTCGCCAAAAAACCGACAGCCGGGTGGAGCACTCAAAGCGAGCAACGAGCGGCTCGTTGCTCGCTGGTTTCCCCGTAACAGGACGTACTGACTGCACGAATGCTCGCTGTGTAACATTACATTACATGTTACATTACACCTCGTAACGTTGGTCAGTTCCCACCTTAATAGCATAAATATTTGACTTACGAAAGTCACACTTAACCTTAAGTCCCTGAATGTAAGGTTTTGTCTTTAAAATAAATAAATCGATTACGAATTCTCATGTCATCTTCACACGTGTATGTCATTTTTCTAACATGTTTTCGTATGTTCATAGTTTGAGAGCAAAAAAATAAAACATGTTGCCTGTTAGCAGTCGAAACTACGATTTAGAGGAATACCTAAATTGGTATTTCTGTTAAAGAAGTTTCATTTATCTGTGTAATGCCGTGACCAACCAAAGACAATAGGTAATGTTTGGTTAAATTGTGTACTTACCAGAGGCCGTAGATGGAAGGTATTGTGAGAGCCATGACAGTTGAGAGAATCCCCACAATAATTATGGACACACGCATCACCCAGATAATCTCCATTTCTGACGCGTTCTGTCTGAAGATCAGCTTGTAGACATTCCTATTTAAGATAAAACGTATTTTATTTATATCAAAGTTTAATCTAAATATATAAAACAAGGTCGTGTTAGTTACAACACTTATAACTCAAGATCGGCTGGACCGATGTTAGTTATCTCTTTTTTGGTAGATTCTTCTCTGCTCCGAATAGCAGAATAAGTAATAAAATATCGGAAAAGCTATTGAATAACAATAAATCAATTAGAATGTGGTGCCATGTGTTAACAAAACAATAATAATAATTTTAAACAATAATTTTTTACTAATTGTATAATTATGTTTAACTTATTACATCTAGATTATATAGCTTACTAGAATATTCATAAATTAATAAATTAACAGTTTCATGTATAGTGTTAACAAAACTACGCATCATTTTACATTAAATTCGTGTCAGTTCAAGAAATTCCGATCTTGATGCATAACCACACTTTGATTTTGATCGAAGACACCTGTGTTACCTTATCAAAAAATGTTGTGTATCAGAAAGTGCTTTAACTGCAGTATCGCAATATTGGCGCTAGAGAGAAGAAGCCTAATGTGTAAAACTGCCATTCTTCTTTCGCAATGGCAAGCAATAAAACATTTCTTTATTTGCAAAAAAAGTTGTATTAATGGTATTTATTACCTTAATGAAATCCTAAATTAAGTTTAACTAAAGTTAACACGAATTAGACTGTTAGGCGGTACGTAGTTAGCCGGGTCAGCTAGTATAATCTAAATACATAATAATATTAAACAAGGCACTTAAATAAATTTAAAAAGTTTGGTCCCTGTAGCAGTTTGGTCCCTTATATATTTGTATAAAATAATAAAACTGACTCAACAGTTGTCAATTTTTTTTTTAAATGTGTGGTACTACCTTTTTTAGGTCTAGGCCTAAGATTTCTGTATCTGTTTCATTATCATTTGTCAATCTAATAGGCATGTAGATCGGCCTCCTGTGCCTAACACACGCCGTCAACTTTTTGGGTCTAAGGCAAGCCGATTTCCTCCCGATGTCTTCCTTCACCGTTCGTGTTCGTGAATGTTAAATACACACATAGAAAGAAAGTCGTTTGGTGCACGGCCGAGGATCGAACCTACAGGCTCAGGGATGAGAGTCGCACGCCAATAGGCCAACACTGCTCTTAGCCTTGGTACTGCTTTCTGCTCTCGATAGTTGTCATAGAATGTTTAAAATTCAAATCCTCAACGCACCAGATATTTTCATTTTATAATACTGTGATTATGTCTATGCTTTTATGGAAGTCTTTTAAATATTCTACAACATTTATAAACAGAATATCTGCTTTTATCCAAACTCTATAGATACAGAAACAAAAAACCAGCCGCCTCATAACTCTTTAAATTAAAAAGGAACAAAGAATAAAAAATAATTCAAGATTTTGGTATAATTTCCATTAGTAACATCGTAATGCGAGCAAAACTTTCTCTTGATTTCCTAAAGCAATTTGGTTAAATAAACATTTTACTTTGAATTCCAAATTAATGAAAAATAACACAAACAGAACCTTTCTAAGGTACCAGAATAATATTATTATAGGCTTTTATATATGTTTCAAAATTAAGTAAAAAATGTAATACTAATCTTTACTTACTCATAATAATATATTTAAAATAAAGATTTTGTATAGTATTATGTATGATAAAGTTTTTTTTTCACGTTGGTAACTAGAAAAAAAATCATACCAGGTTTGCTAAGGGTAATTTATTTACAACAAAATATATATCTGATATCAATAAACACGTTAATTACTTACCGTCATTACGTCCATGACTAAAATTAAGTTAAGAATAATTTGAAAGATAAAATATTTTTTTTTTTATTACCTGGCAAACATAGATGAAGCACTAAGCACACTGGAGTCTGCAGAAGACATAACAGCTGCAGAGATAGCTCCGAGGCCAAAAAAGGAGACAACACTTGGTGTTAGGTGTTGCAGCACTAGAGGCAGGATCATTGACGTCTGCTCTGGTGTCAGATCGCCTTCAGGAGTTAGCGGTCCAGTAAATTCGGTCTCGTTCCAGGCTACACACGTGTATACACATTTTATTAATACAAGCTTTGTGTTTCCAATGCTGGATTCCAGTTATTGTTAGTGTAAAATATTTTGTATTATAAGGTTGTCTAAACTATTATCTTCTTTAATAAAACCACCGAGGCTCTATTATCTCTGCCTTTTAATAAATTTAAGAAATGTATTAAAGAAAATCTGTGTAAAAAGGCTTACTATAAAGTTAACGATTATCTAGTTGATAAAAGGGCATGGGACTAAGTGCTAGACAGGCTACTTCTAAATAATTTGCGATATTTGTTTTAAAGTAAGTGTTGTTTGATGATTTGCTATTTTAAAAGAGTAGCAAGAGTTTTTTACGCCGGCTTTTTCTCTCGGCATACACCCTCTGTCTTCTTTGCCGATGAGTAGGGATGCCTACAAATTCAAATTTAATGACGTGGAATAAGTGATACCTGTATGTTACGTTCCCTAATAAACATATTATTATTAATTCGGCAGATACCCTGCAACTTATTAATCGTTTAAGCTAACAATGAGCTATCTTTGTCTTGATTTAAGTTTTCGTAAACGGTTTTGTTTTACATTAGAGGAAGGTTCCTACCACCTATTTGCTCAAATAAAAATCAAAATACAAGACCATGGGCACACATATTAAATATTACTTACAAGTGCCCTTAGCAATAGCTCCGATTAGCACTGGTGGGATGGCCATGATGATGCAGCCGAAAGCCGCCACGTAAGACAGAATCTGCGCCCGCCCAGCTGTCTTACTACTCAACACACGTTGGAAGTACACCTATGATGAGATAAAATGTGAGTTCGTACTAAAATATGTATTTGCTTATGGTATATTGAATAAAAGGTTGAGGGTATGGAATAATGGATGATTGCAGTGTATTTTTACTTTACGTTCAACGTCACGTCACAATAATTAAAATTATACACTTTCAACGCAAGATCATCAAATCACCAAAACACAAAGTACACTTTGCTATTTTTCTACTACAAAGTGTAATAATGTAGATTTATATGTATTAAAACCTATATGAAATTAGAAATTATATTGTTTCCTTTTAAAATAGTTTTATCGGTTTCATATGTATATAGTATTTCGGTATTTCGAAGTGCAGTCTACTAAAACTCGTTTATAACTAAAAACTTGGCGATTAAAAAGAGTGGCGGAGAGTTTATTGCCAGTTCTTCTCGTCCATTCTACACCCTTATTTGAGAACTGGCAGTAAATGTAAAATTAGAAGCATTTAATATGTTTTTCTTTTATTGAAGTTCATAAGTGGACATTGTGTTACCTTAATGAATAAATCATTTTGTCTTTGACTTTGACTTTTAATATGCCTTGGCAATTGAATTTGGAGTATGAAAAAGAGAGTATAATAAATTTTCTATTGCTATACGCCATAACCAATAGAAATATGCCCAACTTAGAAAAAATAAGTTTGGTGGAAACCCACAATTGACTTACCTGCCAAGGAATGCCCCCAAATACCAGGAGTAGGCCGTAATCGATGTAGAACCAGTAATAGTCTGGATCGATGCTGCCAATCCAGTCGACCTCCATAGAACTGAGAGGCTTGACGTGTGGGTTGGCCCAGGCAAAGGGTATGCACATCCACAGACCAATAAAGATGCAAAAGAGTTGAATAACATCAGTATAGGCCACAGAGTACAACCCCCCGAAGAGTGTGTAGAAAACCGCAACGCAGGCGCTGAAGATAACGGATGTACGGTGGTCCATGTCGATAATAACGACCAGTGTTGCACCTAGACAATTAAAATATATAAATTTTCTGTTATCAGGTAATCTTTTTACATAAATACTAGCTGACCCGGCAAACGTCGTTTTGCCATGTATATTATTTGTAGGAAACATTTTTTTAGTTCAATAAATAACTATCTACTATAATAAAAAAGGGTTTTATCGTAGAGGGGTGACAACTATACATACAACCCGTATGTATTTTTGTATGCTGTATCATAAAAAAATTAAAAAAAAATTGTCTAAGAAATTAAAATTAAAAATTTAGGGGTACGACCACCCTTAACATTTAGGGGGATGAAAAATAGATAAACTGAATATGCATAAAAATTTTCATAAGAATAGGTCAAGCCGTTTCGGAGCAGTATGGGAACGAACATTGTGACACGAGAATTTTATATTAATAGATTTTATTCCAGTCTACTGTGATACTTAAAAATATTAAAACAAAACTGTATTCATGTGAGTATAATGTAGGGTGGTATTTTTTAAGTTTAAATTAATATGTTTTATTAATAAAACCTCTAAATCTAAATACAGTTCTGTTTGTATTAATTTTAGTTATATGGTGTATATTTTATCCCCACCACAACGAGTTGGCCTAGTAACACACTCCCGCCATCCTTATAAAATCCTAAAGCCCACCATGAGGGGATAGAACAAAATACAATAGTAATTCAGGAAATCATAAAAAGCAAAGAAGAAGGAAGTCTAAAAAGTAATTTCTATAAATTATTGAATGATATCAGAAATATACCAAAACACAATCACATTGCATAAAATAAATGAATAAAACCCTTTTAGTTTTAGGCCACAGATTTCTGTTCTTGTTATTGTTAATCTAATAGGCAAGTAGGTGATCAGCCTCCTGTGCCTGACACACGCCGTCGACTTTTTGAGTCTAACCCAAGCCGATTTCATCACGATGTTTTCCTTCACCGTTCGAGCGAATATAAAATGCGCACATAGAAAGAAAGTCCATTGATGCACAGCCGGGGCTCGAACCTCGACCTCAGGGATGAGAGTCGCACTCTGAAGTTACTAGGCCAACACGACTCACATTTATGCATACGCGATTAAATCAAAGTCAACGAAACCTTAAATTATTACAAATGTATTACTGAATTGCGATTTAATTTGTTTTATCAGTTTCATATGTATTTTATAACACAAATATCGAATTGCAGCCTACTGAAACTTTTAATGAGCCTGGGGAATTGATTTTTGTTAAATTATTATATTATAGTATACGCCATTAAACATTGCCTTACACATTATAATGTGACCATGCTATAGTGGTTAACACATATACCAAAGGTCCTGGAAACAATGATCGTTTGGTAGATACGGCTATAACAAATATATAAACAGACGCATCAACGCATGCTTTGTTCGCGGACATTCAAACAAAAATTATCTTTATGTTTTTGGTGCTACCAATCTAAGCAAAATACTACGAGGCTACGCCCAACGATACGGCCGGTGCTACAGCGGAATATATAATTTCTTTGTTCTTAAAAAATTGAAACGGAATGAAAATAATATTCAAGTATTGATTTTAACCGAACAACGTCGTAGCTCTGAACGAACTGAGCTCTTAATTTGTCATTTGACAACGGTCAAAGTAGGCTTTATTTTAACTATAAGTGACATTTTACAGAAATAGCCTGTGCATTCCCAGATCACGAGATATTGTGAATACAATTTGGGACGCGGACCGGCAAAAGCCAATAAATGTCTATTGTTATCTAAAACGAAAAAAGGTTTTCTTTTCCTCTTACGCTTTGATTCAAATGTGTTTGAGATTTATTACTCACGAGAATTGATATTCGAACATATTTCTATAACTATACAGTTATTTCTCTTTGATACATCGAAACAATTTGAGTTTTAAGGGTAAAAAACGGTTTATCTCGATTTCCAGCAAAACTAAAAGTCCTATCGAAGAAAGTTAAATGGCAAAGTTGTAGGTAATAAAAAGATCTAAAACTTTTGTATTCACACATTTTTCACATAACCTCAAAATTTATGTGAAAAATTCAAAAAACCAAGTTTTTGGTTTTTTATTTTTATCTTTTACAAAAAATTTTTTTTAAACGAAATTTGGTGAAAACTTACCTTTCTATGTCCCAAATACGCTGTAATTTATTTGATTAAAAATATTTATTTTTTCACCTTATTTTGAATTAATATCGAAAAAACACCCTAATTTTCAATCGAAAATTCACCCGTCAAAATATCAGCTTTTTTCAAAAAGTTGGTGTGCTTTCAGTTCGTTGAAATCTCTACTTTCCTATGGTAAAAAATATATATATATATATATATATATATTACCATAGTAAATCTTCTCAGAAAATGCAAAAAATCGTATGCAGTAACGCCCAGACCCGTCATCCCTTTCCCTATTTCGTATATTATTATCACTATACCGTAACGTACATTTCAAAAAAAAAAATTTCACCCGTGTGACGCCGGAACAGTCTCCTAGTTTCTAATAAAAATATGAAAATCTGGATTCCTAGATAACATCAGTCAAAAAAAACATTTTAAATTAAGAGTATAAAGACGATATAGGTCTAGAATCAACAATTATTACTAAGTACTTAGTTCCCGCACTTTGAATGTAAGATAGTAAGTGTTGACTTGACTTACCACGATTATTTTACTTCCACTATTTAGAAATACGAAGAGCATGATAATATTTGAAAATTATAAATATTTAGCCCCAGGATTCCAATAAATTATATTTATTAATAGATAACTAGTAACAGATAATCTCCGGTTCTCTGTAGTCCCGAGAAATAAACTAAGTAATAACTTACTACTTTATTAGTTTAGTTTGGTTTTTGTTCCTGTTTAGTTTCTTTTTGCACTTCTTGCCTACCTTATGTAATTTAATACATTTTTCTTTTCTTTTCTCACAGAGGTTGCCTGGAAGAGATCGCTCGAAAACGATAAGGCCGCCAGTTGCCTTTACATGTAATTATGTTAAATTTTTGTATTATAAAGCAACAAAGTATGAATAAATAAATAAATAAATAATAAACCTAATCAGGTTGAAACAGTACTTCCTCGTACAAAATTGTTTATAAAATAATACCGTAACTTAATATACGTAATACCTACCAATTAATTATTCAAAAAAGTCGTTTAGTCGTTCTTTGTCGTTAGAACTATCTATAAATAGACTTACCCAGTGCTGCCAATATTCCAGCCGCCCAAAACACCTCACCACAAAGGGCAGGCAAAAACAGCAATCCGCCCATACGTCCGCCAAACGAGTCTTGCAGCGGATCCAACATTGTTACGTAGCCTTGCTTTCGCATTGGGTTTGCGAAGAAGATTCCACCTGAATGGGTTATTATTGATAAGTATTCACAACTCGTTATTTCGCCTAACTGTCAGCTTATTAAGAACAGCTCCTTCTTTTCGAGCTAAGTTCTACGGTGGGTTTATTTTATGGTATTTTGGATATTGTTACGCAATTACTCGCACTCATTTAACGAGTTCTTAAGATCAAAGTTAAGTTAAGTTTGGAAAGGACCAAGAGGAAGTAGGAGAAGAGGTCGCCCAAAAAAAGATGGATAGAAGAAATAGAAGCGGAAACGAATGGAGAAAGAGAGCCATAGACAGAGTCAGTTGGAAAAAGCTGGAGGAGGCCTTTACCCGTGAAGGGGTTCCGATCGACGGTACTGAAGATAGCTAGGTTATAGGATAACAAGCAAAAGAAAAAGAAAATTATAAAAATGTAAAATAATCTAAGCTGTATATTATAATTTGTTTTTGTCATGATTGGAAATAAAACGGGCTTTATTATTATTAAGATCAAAGTTATGTGTTTCCTTCGATGCGTTTTATAAAATTAAAGTCGCAATTTAATATTTAGAAGTGCTCTTGGCACGCCTCGTTAAGTCAGAACGTGTCAAGTGTAGCCCTCTGGAGCGCTTGAAGCCGGAACTGCATTTGTATTAGCAATAAATACCCTGATTCAAGTTATATAGATATCGTCTTTAGTTAAGCGTGTACTGCGTTCACTACAAATTATTTTGTTATTCGACATTTTCAGTGTCTTTGTCGTTGTCTGGTGTCTCTAATAATTCATTTATATATTGGTTTAGATATCCGACCCGATACTCTGAGGTGCTGCGTTCAAATTCCGGTTCTGAACCATTGGATGTGAATGATGTGTGTATTATGTGAAAACACTATTTTAATAACGTTTTTTTTATAAACCAGGGGCCAAACGGGCAGGAGTCTCACCGGATTTATGGACACTCTCAATGCTAGAGAGTTCGCAAGTGCGTTGCCGGCCTTTTAAGAAATGGTTTGCTCTTTTCTTTGAGGACCCTAAGTCGAATTGGTTAGCAAATACTTCAGTGGGCGGCTGGTTCCACATAGTGGTGGTGCGCGGCAAAAACTTCTTTAAAAAACGCTCAGTTGTGGAACGACGGACGTCAAGATGATACGGGTGGAATTTCGGGTTAAACCCATATATTTATTATTATTTAACTTATTATATATATATATATATATATTATAATCATATCAGGGATCAAAAGGGCTATGTCTAAAATGTCCTGCAATTTTATTTTAATTAATCAACCTCAAAATAGGTGAGATTGGTACATTTTATGAATACACTTTTTTTTCCAAAATCGATATCGGAAACGCCTTAATAATTAAACGAATATATATAATATGTGTGTAACGCATACGGCCATATTGTTTAATTACCAAATACATATTCTAATTCAAATGCTGATTAGGCTTACAGCCCTACACAGAGATGTTGAATATAATTTAACGTTGAGTAACATCACCGTACGGAAACTTTTAAGCTCCTATACACTATGCATATTTGTATCAAATTAAGTAATGAAGACCTTCTTTGCACTGCCATTCTGTCGTTTATAATAAAAAACAAATGAGTTCAATTATACCGAATGAACTACCGTACTCATTTGTCTCTTTTCATCACAGTCTAAACGCAATTTGACAGCAAGAGATGTAAAGTATTTTACTTAAAACTTACCGAACACTAACGAAAGTGCATAGCCAAATGGAGCCTGACACCACACAAGCCCTGAAGTGTAGATCGCCTCAGCCGTACCGTTTATGTAGCCTCCGCCAACCCAGGTAGCTGGAAAATTACTTCAATCAACTTTTGTCGTTTTACGATAGAAGCATTTCGCCCTCGCTGCAGATTAACATACAAGGAGTTAGCTTAGGTTCCTGACTGTCATATATATGCCCATTATATAGATCAACTGAACATCATTAAATATTCTATATGTATATAAGTTTCGTTTTTAATACATTTATGGCATTAGCAATTCAAATTATAAAAATATATTATTAGTGTCTAGAAAAGAGTGGCGGAGAGTTTCTTGCCAGTTCTTCTTGGCCGCTCTACGCCCTTGACTTGAGAACTGATGTAAATTTAGAATCAATTTAATATCATTTCTGTTGACGTTCATAAGTGTACTTGGTTACCTATATGATAAAGGTTTTTTTTTAGATTGAGTTATAGTTTAAATACGTGAATAACAAAAGAGGATTGTAATTAATAATATGATCATATTAATCAACAAAATTACTAAATTATACTTCCAAATCGGTATAATCCTTAATATATACGTTCCGCTACACACACACACAAAATATATTGTACCTGTCATAGTAAAAATGCCGACGAATAGTCCAATAGACCGGCCAGCCAGCATCACCTCTTCTTCTGACTGGTCTCCCGCCGGCTTCTTCCGTCCTGCCCAGATGCCCACCGCCAGGATCAGTACGTAGAACAGTACAATCGAAACAACACCCGCTATGTTAATCATCTTGCTGTCTGTTTTTCGTCTACCTGTGAAGATAACGAGAGTAACGGTTCATATACTAAATGAGGATATAATCGATATAGTTTAAGAACAATGTGTGTCAAGGCTGTATATTTCTTTTCACGCAGGCTTTTCTTGTCAAAATCGTTATAGCTAAATCCCGGAAGTTATACAAGTTACTTTCTTTGGTCATATAATTATTTATATCTTTTATAAATGTTGTATTATTTCCTAACAATATTGTAATGAAGAGGTGTAATCTATAATTGACATTTGAAGGTTATTAAAAAGGCCTATGTTCTCAAAATAAATTGTATTTTTATCGATTAAACAAGCATTGATTAAGTAGTAAATTATAGTTACGCAAACGAGAAAACCTATCATAAGCTCAAATACAAAATAAAATTTTACTTAATATATTTATAAACTAAAAAGAGAGGAAAATGAATAGATAAATTTAGTTAGGACTGTATTTACAGGTTTATATGGTTAAGACTGAAAGTATCCTTGTTCCACGTTAATATCGAGAAGTATATTGTAATTAACATAGATGTGTACATTTCTATAATAAGTTTATTTAATATCGAGTATTGCCTGGTTTAAAAATTATCAGGGTCTTTTATTTCTGTAAATAAAACGTAGTATTGTTTACAATAACACAAAACGTAGGCAGAAAGTTAAAGTAATACAATCAAAAATATTATAGAGATATCTACCTAATCCGGTGTATTTTATTTTATTTTATTTTATTTTATTTTTTGTAACATTTATGTTAAAAGCTTGTAACATATACTGTAGATACATTATGTATGATGTAGTAAACTTTAATATATAAACGTACAAGTGGAAGTCTTACATACATAAGACTAAAAAGGGTGTTCTAACATAACAAAAGTTCTGTACTTACACACAATAAAAAGCCCTCAGAGATGTCTCCCGCACTCAAATGTCTTTTACATGTAACATTCGCGGTTCATAACATACAATTAACACTAATTATGTCACTCGCGGGAGACGGAGACGTTACTTGAGGCAACTATCGCCCCATCGGAGGGAGGTCTTTTGCGATGGGCTGTTTCTTGTTCTAAAGCTTAGCCCGCACATGAGCGCGCGTGTCCTCGTCTCCAGGCATTAAACCCGTGGTTCTTAGCCGTTATATAACCGTGTCGCCGCCAGTTCATGTGGCAGCTGTGACAGCTAGCCCCAACCTGCGCCGATCGATCCCTTGACGTCATCTGAAACATCGTGGAGCGCATGCTCTGCCTCCCACGCGACCTTTACAATTATAACGCTGTACTCGTGTTACATTGCTGCTGGATAGGCTAATTTAAGTACACTAGCAAAACGGAAACAGAAATGGGTGTTATACAATTTTTGGATTTGAGGGTGCCATAAAAAATATTGTAAGTATCTATAGACCGTTATCAGTACGTCTTTCCATTGACAAATTGATTGATGAGGACTAGAGGCTGTCTCAATTGGGAAACCCTTGAAGATGGATGGGATTCAGTGGGGTTATGATATGTATGCATACGTATAAAATGGGAACGGGGTGTGATAATTACCAGATTTCTAACTGTTTTATTTATTAACATATAAACAAAAGTATATTATTGAATATGAGCAGTGTTGGCCTAGTGGGTTCAGCGTGCGTCTCTCATCCCTGAGGTCGTAGGTTCGATCCCCGGCTGTGCACCGATGGACTTTCTTTCTATGTACTCATTTTACATTCGCTCGAACGGTGAAGGAATACGTCGAGAGAAAACCGACATGTCTAAGACCCAAAAAGTCGACGGCGTGTGTCAGGCGCTGGAGGCTGATCACTAACTTGCCTATTAGATTGAAAAATGATCATGAAACAGATTCAGAAATCAAATCTGAGGCCCAGACCTATAGAGGTTGTAGCGCCACTGATTTATTTTATTATATTATTGAATATTGGTATTGAACTCATTTCGGACGCGTCGTCGATTTTATGTATGACATCCCGATTTCCTTAGGATTATCATTAGTGCACAGCGGAGATACGAACCCATGACCTGAGAGTTGGAGGTCTTTTTTTTATAGAACAGGTTCAAACGGGCAGGAGTCTCACCTGATGCTATGGACACTTTCAATGCCATATAGCTCGCGAGTGCGTTGCCGGCCTTTTAAGAATTTGTGCGCTCTTTCCTTAAAGAACCCTAAGTACAAAAGCTCGCGCGGGGGGAAAGGGGGGGGAAAAAAGGAAAAAAAGGAAAAAGGGGGGGGAGGGGAAATTCCCCCCCCCCCCACCAAAAAAAAATATTTTTTTTTTTTTTTTTTTTTTGGAAAAAGGGGGAAAAGGGGGAGGGGGCCCCCCTGGTTTTAAAGAAAACCCCCCCCCAGGGACCCCCACAATGCCATATAGCTCGCGAGTGCGTTGCCGGCCTTTTAAGAATTTGTGCGCTCTTTCCTTAAAGAACCCTAAGTCGAATTGGTTCGGAAATACTTCAGTCGGCTGGTTCCACATAATGGTGGACTCCGGCAGAAAGAAGAAGGTGATACGGGTGGAATTTCGTATTCTGCCTCGACATCTGATGATGAAAAAAAAAAAAAAAACCCCCCCGGGGGGGGGCCCCCCCCCCCGGGGCCGGGGGGGGGGGGGCCCCCCCCCCCCCCCCCCCCCCCCCCCCCGGGGGGGGGGGGGGGGGGGGGGGCCCCCCCCCCCCCCCCACCACAAAAAAAAAAAAAAAAAAAAAAAAACCCCCCCCCCCCCCCCCCCCGGAGGAAAGGGGGACCCCCCCCCCCCCCCCCCCCCCCCCCCGGCGACCCCCCCAACAAACCCCCAGGCCCCCCCCCCAGGGGGGGGGGGGGGGGGCGGGGGGGGAAAAAACCCCCCCCGCGGGTAATTCCACCCGGGGGGGGGGGGGGCCCCCCCGCCCCGACCCCAAAAAAATCGCTCGTACTCATATTTTTTTTAACAAACCAATTGACAAAGAAAGACAAAATTGACTTTAAAAAGGTTGTATATATATTACTTTGTCTATCTATTGTTGTCATGACGAAATGTCACTTAAATTTTTTATCAATGTATAGTTTTTTATAGAAATAAGCAGGAATCTCAAAATTTTGTCGTAATTTTATAAAGCAATACCAAACAATAAATTCTAGGCGTACAACATGCACGATACGGTAAGTACACTGAATTTCCATTATCCTGCTTGTATCCTAGCTTAGTATGAATTTTCACTTGCTGAAAATCCTTAAGACAGGATTTGTCTAAGACAGAAGTGTACATAGAGGAATCTACTAAAGGCACTGTTGCACTTTAAACAGTCATCTGTTGCTTTTTATCAGTGTGAATACAATCTGACAGAAATGAATGAATAAAACGGTGTAATATTAAATTGTTTGGTGCCAATATAATTTTTGAAAAAACAAAGCCGTTGATCCTTTTGGGCCTGACACATGCAGACGAATTTTGGGTCTGTGGCATAACGGAGTCCTCACGATGTTTCCCTTCACTTTACGAGCGAGTACTCGTAGTCAGAAAGTCCATTGGTGCACAGCCGAGGTTCGAATTTACGACCCCAAGGATGAGAAACAACCCGGAAATTTTTTGAAAAACGTCGCCATTATGTTGTTTTTTTTTTTTATATATAGAACGGGGGGCAAACGGGCAGGAGGCTCATCTGATGTTAAGTGATACCGCCGCCGCCATGGACACTCTCAATGCCAGAGGGCTCGCGAGTGCGTTGCCGGCCTTTTAAGAATTGGTACGCTCTTTTCTTGAAGGTCCCTAAGTCGAATTGGTTCGGGAATACTTCAATGGGCAGCTGGTTCCACATAGTGGTGGTGCGCGGCAAAAACTGCCTTGAAAAACGCTCAGTTGTGGAACGGCAGACGTCGAGGTGATACGGGTGGAACTTCGTATTCTGCCTCGACGTCCGATGATGAAACTCAGCTGCAGGTATTAATCCGAACAACTCCTCTGAACACTCTCCATGGTAAATGCGGTAGAAGATACAGAGTGACCCCACATCTCTACGCAACGCCAAAGGATCAAGCCGCTCGAAGAGGGATTGGTCGTCGACGATTCGAACCGCTGTGCGTTGTATACGGTCAAGTGGAAGGAGCTGGTACTGGGGAGCCCCCGCCTAGAGGTGAGAGCAGTACTCCATGTGGGGCCGAATTTGCGCTTTATATAGTTGCATGCGGTGGCCCGGAGTGAAGTACCGTCTCGCCTTGCTGAGCACACCAAGCTTTTTGGAGGCTAATTTAGCCTTTCCCTCCAAGTGACCGCGAAACTGAACGTCGCTCGATATGTCAACGCCAAGTATTCCAATGCTGGCTGTGGCTTTAAGAAGAGTGTTTTCGAAAAGAGGAGTAGCGACAAAGGGTGTTTTTTTAGCGGAAAACGCGCAAACTTGTGTCTTCTTGGGGTTAAATAGGTTTTGTCTGCCCCAATCTGAGACTCCACGTAGTAGAGTTTCGACTTCAGACACAAGTTTGTTCCGGTACTCATCAACAACTGCCCGAGAAATACCTGCCCGGCCAGTGTAAAAAGTATCCCCAGTGCTGTCATCCGCATAGCAATGAATGTTGCTAAGTTTCAACATATCATTGATATGCAGAAGAAATAGGGTCGGGGATAGAACACAGCCTTGTGGGACCCCAGCGTTTACGGGTTTTAGGTTGGAACATGCTCCGTCGATGACGACCTTGATGCTCGGCCAGAAAGCTGGAGATCCAATCGCGTAATTTCTCGGGAAGCCCATAGGCTGGAAGCTTCGAGAGCAGTGCTCTGTGCCACACCCGATCGAAGGCTTTCGCTATGTCCAAACTAACCGCTAGCACCTCCCCCTTGGACTCAATTGCCTATGCCCATCTATGTGTAAGGTATACAAGAAGGTCACCAGCCGAACGACCACGACGAAAGCCGTACTGATAATCGCTAATCAGCTGGTGGCCCTCTAGATACCTCAAGAGCTGGCAATTAACAATGGATTCAATTATTTTGGAGAACAAGGAGGTTATAGCTATTGAACAACAATTCAAGAATGAGTAAAATCTATTTTTTAGATGTGATAGTAATGGGTTTCTTGGACAACTCCGGCGCTGCGGGAAATGCAGCCCGTCCACCCTTGCGTACCTTGCAATTAAATATATTAAACTAAATACTCTAATCACAGATCGTCCGTCTTGCTGATGTGTGGAAGACCTGTAATAAGATCCGCGCGGCAGCTTTCCGTGTTGGTCTGAACCTATGGGACTTCTACCGCCCTCTTGACCCTGAAGGGAACTCACTCATCTCTGGTTCTTTCTTCCATACTTGTCGTATAATTTTCCTGTTTTAATTTTTCTTCTGGCAAATCGTATACTCGGTTATAGGTAAGAAATTAAATTTTATTTGATAAAACAATATTAATTGTAGTAAGAAAAATACTTTCGTTGCCAGTCGACTTACTTACTTCTTACATTACAGAGAAGTTTTTTTACAATTTGCCTTTGGAAAAATCAAATTCATTTTTTATCCTTTACAAACAAAACAAGGTTTTTAAATAGAATGAGTACAGTACAAATTCAATTTTCAAAACTAACATATTTTATTAGAGAATGTGATAATAACAATAAAATTGCTGTATATTTTATTTCTTCATTCAATAGAGTGATAATATTGACCATTATTTAAGGCACATTGTTTTTTCAGAGTCAAAATTCGTCTCGGTGTTAGCCGGTCCACTGCGGTCAGTGATCGGACTTTCTGACGCTGAAATCGCGCAGTTGGCAGACTACTTCCGCGCACAAGATGGCCGCGTGCTTTATCACCAGCTCTGCCAGATTGTTCATGGAGAAGGTGACATAAGTATCTCTTAAACAACATTTAAATTCAGCTTAACAATGTATAATATAATTATATAATAAAATTGAACTTTAAGATTGTTCTTTTCACACAATTTCCTATCTATTTTATTACCAAGTAAGAGTCCTTTATAAAGAATTAACTTTTATATAGTTTCCGCAAGAAAATTTCCTTTGCATCTGACTTTATTGGTTAACTTCCTTATAGGGAGTATGTTAATGTATCTTTCATATAAAATACATGAAAGCGAAGTTACTGTTCAAGTTAAGGAAGTTTTACATATTACATACTTGGCTAAGTAAGTATCTAGTCAGTGCTTAATGAAATTAATATATCTCGGAGGAATATCGTCACTCCATCGATATAGACATCGTAGCGGCTTTAGTGGGCGTCATGTGGGTAAAGTGCGAACACAAAAGACAAATTAAAATCGTACAATATTCAACACTATAAATAACACTTTAGCTCAAATTATAATAAGTTAAAGTTAACTCGATAGTAAATATCCTTATAATCCAAGCATTATAAATAAAGAAGTCAAGAAGTATTATAAAGAAAAGAAAAATTTACAAAATAAGTAACAAGAATTTAAGAGATAAAACGGGGTTTGCTGACGTTGCATATACAACAAAAGAACTAAAATGGAAATAGGCTGGACATACCATAAGAGGAGCAGATGAATGGAGCAAAATTGTAATACTATGGCAACCAAGAGGCCATAAAAGAAACAGAGGTAGGCAATTTAAAAGGTGGGCCGTTGAAATCATGGAAATGACTGGAAAGACTAAGTCATGGACGAGATTGGTATACAAAAGGAAAAATGGAGGACAATGGGGGGAGGCCTTTGCCCGTAGGCACACAGAATCGGTTATCGTAGATTAAGAAAAACAATAGTTATAATGTATATATTTTGTACTTCTGATAAAAGGCTTCTAAAATTCTTAGATTTTAAGTCATAACACAGCAATTTCCCAAGCGAAATTAGAGAATTATCGCTAAATAAATTCAAAGCCCTCGTTAAACGTAAATTAATCAATAAAGCTTTTTATAAATTTGACGAATACTTAAATGATCCTAATCCTTGGGATTGATTTGCTCCAGTTCAAACAATTTGTATGACAATACTTGGCGATTAAAAAGAGTGGCGGAAAGTTTCTTGCCAGTTCTTCTTACCCGCTCTACGCGCTTGACTTGCTAACTGGTAGTAAATGTAAATTTACAATTAATTTAACTTTTTTTTGACGATTCATAAGTGTACTTGTTTACCTATATGAATAAAGATATTTTGAGTTTGAGTTTGGTAAAAGAGCTGTTAGTGTTGTATGTTCAGATGACGGCGGTCGCGAGCGAACATCTGCTGAATGTATACTTGAAGCTTGTCCTCCGCCACCTGAACCTGCCTGCCACAAGCTCGATATTTGGCAGATGAGACGCCTCTGCTGCCTGCTGGCTACCATCGCGCAGCGGGATATTCCACTAAAACCTTACTTCCAGGACTACGAATTGGTATATAGCAATAAAATGGTCACAGTATTGCATGCAATCATACTAATATTAACATTTCTTAAAATATTCATAAATATAATATTTATATAGTAATTGATGTGAAATTTGAATTTTACATTATAAAACTGTTTCTTAAAAGTTCTAATTTTAAATTTCAGGTGGCGAAAAACGATGGACGAATAACATTTGCGCACTTTGCGCGTATTCTGAATTATATAGGTGTACTGGTTTCTCCAGAGGATTTTAACCTCCTAGTGCGGAAGTTCATCAAAGATTCATATACACTCGACTACGTGGAGTTCATAAAAGCTGTCGAAGCCGTTAAGAAAGAGGGAATACGCGGTCTAGGGCCGGTAAGATTAGGCCTCTAACACTGTAAAACCAATATCGACCATGATTGACCAGATTTGATTGATTGACTATATTATGCCAGCCAAAGCTACGGTTTCCTAGAAAAGCGGTGCCATTAACTAACGGCCGTCTTTACGGTGGCCAAGCTGTGGTTTCCTAGAAAGTAGTGCGACCGTATTCAATCGTAGTTACTCAGTACTCACTCGAGCGTTAGGTCGTGCTCTGGTGAAAAATGGACGGTTTCGACATGCATTATTAGTATTTTCGTCTTCAGTCATCAGAAGACGAAAAAAAGTGAAATTCCAATTTCGTTCCACAAATTTTGCTTTATCTGAGCTTTTCTGTACTCGTTGGATTTGATATTGTACAAAGCTTCATGATTTTTATCAAAATCAATTAATTGTTCATCCTTTTCGCTCGTCCAAGTCATTTTATTATTTAAATATGGGACCGCTACAGGCGAAAAACGTTGAACTACTGTGTGGCGTCCTCGTCGTCATTGGTAGCTGAAATAAAACATCAATAAAAATTACTAAGAATTAAATTATGTATTAAAAATGTACTTACCAACTTCTACGTATAGACCGTGTCTATTGTTCTCCGCGGCAGGCGGGGGGCGAGGCACGCGCATTCCACAGCGCGCTCCGCCACCAGTACGGCCCACGATTTCTTTAGCGACACACGTACATCTCGCTGCCGACGCCGCGGTTTATTTTTACGATAAATATATACATCTTTGAGTTCACACAAGTTTTATTATTTATATAGTGTTTATACGACAACGCGAACACTATATTGGTGACCCCGACGTGATAAGAGTAAGAAAAACTACACGCCACGCGGTCTTAGTACTTTTGCCATGCAAGGCGAAAACGGTGGGGACACGGACAATATGGAAAAAGGTGCACATGAAATTTTCAAAGTTGGAATTAAAATACCACCAAATGTTTACGCCGCTACATCGTCCTCAGCTAACCAACATGCTGGAAATCCTCCAGACCACTACCTCACCGTTTTAGAAAGCTTGGCCAGGCAAGTTAACGAATTAACCAAGCAAGTTGCTTCCCTGAGCATGAATAATAGCCGATCAAGCAGATCACGACAACGTAGGTATAACAGATCAAGATCTCACTCACGCTCCACCCAAAGATGGAAGGAAAACAAAATGAATAGCGTGTGTTACTACCACATAAAATTCGGTGAAGGCGCCATAAAATGTCTCACGCCCTGTTCCTACAAGACTTTAAACGCGAACGGCAGCCTGTAGTGGCGGCTAACGACTGCCTAACGCATACTCCTAATGACCGCCTCTTCATCGTCGAAAAGAAAACTAAACTGAAGTACTTGATAGACACGGGATCTGACGTTTGCGTTTTTCCTAAGTCGGCGACCAGAGACCAGCGTCATAAAACTAAATATGAGTTATACGCTGCCAACAACACTATCATAGCTACGTATGGCTACATATCCTTACACCTGGACCTCGGACTTCGCCGGGACTTCACCTGGAGATTCGTAGTTGCGGACGTCACACGACCCATCATTGGTGTTGACTTCTTGGGCCACTACAACCTATTAGTGGACTGTCGTCGTCACCGCCTCATCGACGGCCTCACAAGTTTGTCCGTCAACGCGCCACGCTGCGCCAACATTGCTGTGGAAACGGTGACCATCAAAACAGTTGCTGGAAACTCCGACTTTCACGACTTACTTCGCAACTACCCAGATGTAACGAAACCTACTGGAAAGCCAAAAGAAACCAAGCACCAAACGAAGCATCATATACGTACTACCCCTGGTCCACCAGTCGCAGCTCGTCCCAGACGTTTAGCCCCAGATAGACTGCTTATTGCGAAAAAAGAGTTTGAAGAGATGTACGCAAATGGAACAGCTCGTAGATCAGAGAGCCCATGGTCGTCTCCCCTTACATTTAGCCAAAAAGAAGGACGACGGTTGGAGACCATGCGGCGACTATAGAGCACTTAATGCCAGAACCATCCCTGATCGATATCCAATAAGACAGATTAATGACTTTGTTTACCAGCTGTCTGGAGCTAAAATATTTTCAAAGATTGACTTGATTAAGGCCTACAATCAGATACCTGTCGCAAATGAGGACATACCTAAAACAGCCATAACTACACCATTCGGACTGTTCGAATTTCCGTTTATGACCTTTGGTTTAAGAAACGCTGCTCAAACCTTCCAAAGATTCATCGATGAAGTTCTTCAAGGCCTGGAATTTACATATGGGTATATTGACGACATCCTAGTATTCTCGAAGACCAGAGAACTCCATCTTCAGCACCTTAAAACTGTCTTCGAACGACTTAACCAGTATGGCATCTTAATAAACACCTCTAAGTCCGTATTCGGCATTAACGAAGTAACTTTCCTCGGCTACAGCGTCTCGACTGAAGGCATACGCCCTCTCAAAGAGAAAGTGGAAGCAATTACCAACTACCCACAGCCGAAAACAGCAAAGCAACTCCGACGGTTCCTGGGAATGATAAACTACTACCGGAAATTCATCCCTGATGCAGCAAAGATACAGGCTCCTCTGAACGATGCCCTAACAGGTAACATCAAAGGAAATGCACCTATCGATATGACTAACCTTGTAACAGCTTTCAATGAGTGCAAGCGCAGCCTATCTCAAGCCACTCTTCTTGTCCACCCTGAAATCAACCTGGATCTAGCCTTATTCACAGATGCTTCAGACGACTCCATCGGCGCTGTCTTGCAACAAAAACGAAAAGGCAACTGGGAACCCTTGGGATTTTTCTCTCGTAAACTGACGACATCGCAAAAAAAATATAGTCCATACGATAGGGAGCTACTGGCCATATACGAAGGTATCAAACACTTTAAATATATGTTGGAAGCAAGAAACTTTTGCATTTACACCGACCACAAGCCCATCACCTACGCCTTCACAACAAACAGAAGCCAGTGCTCTCCAAGACAATTCCGCTATCTTGACTACATATCTCAATTCACCACCGATCTAAAATACATCCCCGGGAAAGACAACATCGTCGCTGACGCCCTATCACGTGTAGAAGAGATTGTCACTATAAATTACGACGCACTTGCAAGAAATCAGGCTCAAGACCCTGAATTGCAAGCTTTGCTAACCAAAAACACAGCACTACAACTGAAACAGATTGCTGAAAACCAGCTGTACTGCGATTTTTCCACCAAATCGCCTAGACCGTACATAACACCTGCCTATCGCAAACGCGTTTTTGAAACCATACATCAACTCAGCCATCCAAGCGGCCCTACCACTGCTAAAATGGTAGCTCAAAGATTTGTGTGGCCCGGAGTAAGACGCGATTGCAAAACTTGGGCAAAGGAATGCGTAGACTGCCAACGAAGTAAAGTCAACAGACATACGAACGCACCATTTACAACCTTTCCAGTACCATCAGAACGTTTCGCCCACGTACACCTGGACATTATAGGCCCATTACCATACTCTAATGGTTTTAGATACTGCCTGACAGCAATAGACCGCTTCACACGTTGGCCTGATGGCTATCCACTAGCGGATATTACAGCAGAAACTTGTGCTTCCGCGTTCATTACCAACTGGGTATCTCGTCATGGATGTCCACAAACTGTAACAACAGACAGAGGCTTACAATTTCAATCACAACTCTTCCAAAGCATCACCAACCTGATCGGCGCAGAACATCGTCCCACCACCTCATACCATCCGCAATGCAATGGAATGGTGGAGAGATTACATCGCCAACTAAAAGCAGCCATCATCTGTCACAACAACCCACAGTGGACTGAAACACTTCCCCTAGTGCTACTAGGAATAAGAGCTGCCTGGAAAGAAGATCTGCAGGCATCAGCCGCCGAGCTAGTATATGGAGAACCACTACGACTACCGGGACAATTTTTCTCAACTTCGCTTGACCAGAACCTAAATCCAGCAGACTATACAGCTCGCTTGAGAAATCATATGGCAGCATTAACCCCAACTCCTGCATCAAACCACAACAGTAAAACATTCTATTTGCCGAATGACATACATACTGCACAGTTTGTTTTCTTCGCCGTGGTCCCGCAAAACGATCGCTTGAATCACCATATACCGGCCCTTATAAAGTTCTGAAAAGAAATACAAAAACATTTTCATTAGACATAAAAGGCAAAGAGTTACAGTAACAATAGACAGAATAAAACCAGCTTACCTTACGAAAGAAAACAGAGAATACGACACGACCATTCGTCCACCGATGACCGCACTGCCGTTCCACACCAATCACGATGCACCGCCACCTGAAAAAGACTAGAAGTGGAAGATTAGTTAAGTTTCCGGACTACTATCGACCGTGAAACGGTCTCGGCAGGGGAGTGATGTGGCGTCCTCGTCGTCATTGGTAGCTGAAATAAAACATCAATAAAAATTACTAAGAATTAAATTATGTATTAAAAATGTACTTACCAACTTCTACGTATAGACCGTGTCTATTGTTCTCCGCGGCAGGCGGGGGGCGAGGCACGCGCATTCCACAGCGCGCTCCGCCACCAGTACGGCCCACGATTTCTTTAGCGACACACGTACATCTCGCTGCCGACGCCGCGGTTTATTTTTACGATAAATATATACATCTTTGAGTTCACATAAGTTTTATTATTTATATAGTGTTTATACGACACGCGAACACTATAACTGTTTATCACCGCTATGACGGCTGTCATAACAATGACAGCCCCGCTATTTGAAGTTACGGCTCAATGTTCTCTAGAAAACCTACTCCGATGTTATTTATAGACAACGTATGGGTGACGTCACCCAACAGTACATTACGGCCGTTAGATAACGGCACCGCTTTTCTAGGAAACCGTAGCTTTATGGCAATACCTGACAAAAGGCAAAACCCAGCTTTGATAGACTTTATTGAATTACCTCAACATCTGTAGCAATGATGTCGCTTACTTGGAGTAACTTCTGTATCAATTCTGTCTTTAATTATTACGTATCTGTTTTAATTCGGTTACAGGAATACAACAACCCAGCGGCATTGATAGACACGACTCTACCAAAAATAGTTCGTCCAGAGATAGAAGCGGGACTATCCACCGCGCCACTTGGTGCTTTAGATGTATTCCACCCTGCACTGCAGGGTCCCAAGCCCTCACGACATCTTCTCGACCTTATGCTTAGGGTTCAAGAATTTGTTTTGCAGAGGCGAGTTCGGGTCTCGGAATTCTTCCGTGTAAGCTAATATTTTTGTTGTGGTAAAGACGTTTTGAGGAATTGTGTAAAAACCCTGGTTTTATACAAAACATGAGTCAGCCACAGTGGCGTAACAATAGGGTTTCAAAATGCCACGGGCCTCCAGCCCCGGAGGGCCCAAGAGATATTATGTTCTATGGATGAATATGAAGCCTCCAATACGCATTGGGCTAGCGTAGGGACTACAGACCATTCCCTTTCGTCTAAGAGAGGACCTATGGCCATTAGTGGGACATATACAACGTGTATGTACACTGAAGATCTCGAAGTTTATTAAAATCAGTACATCGTGACGACTTTTACTGATAGGGCTCCATCAAAAGAATTTTCCATGGGCCCCAGATGGTATAGTTACGCCACTGGTCAGCCACTCAATCAGAATCACTTTCGATTAAGTCTGACCATGATGGCATGGAAGCAGAATAAGAGTAATATGTAACTATATATTTTCGTATATATTGGCATTTATTTTTTTAAAGGACTATGACCCACTGAATAGTGGGCGCATATCACCGCAGCAGTTCAGACGCGCGCTGGACGTCATGGGCTTCGGCGCTATACTCTCGGATCTGGATATGCTGTGCATCACCAGACATTACATTGATCCCAATCAGCCTGATCGCGTCTGCTGGCGGACTTTTGAGGACGATTGTGATCAGGGTATGAGATTTCTTGCCATTGTCGAAGAAGTCGGATGTTAAAAGGCCTTCACACGAATTAACGCTCTTATTACAAATACCTACTTATATTGGTATAAAGTAAAATCAAAATTTGTCTCCAAATTACCTATATGCCTTACAGTGTTTACAATAAAGGAGCTAGAAAAACACCCAGAGGTGTCAGCGGGCGGAGTTGCAGCGGCGGTTTCAGAGCTTCCGCCTCTAGGTTCAGCGGCTGAACATGGAGGCCCCTCTCCAATGGAACTCGATCAGGCGCAAGAGGCCTTATTAAGAGTACGAGCTGCCTGTGCTGAAAGGTCACTTGACCTACGACCAGCTTTTGGAGAACATGATGAGTAAGGACCATTGTACAGATCCTTTAGACGACACTTTTGTAGGAAGTTAACTAATTTTTTCCTTTTTATAGTAGGATTTTAATGGTCACAAAGCTAGTTATATAAAAGAAAAACTTACAACTTTTTAAGCAATTTTTCTCATAGATTATTATATTATTAATACATTTTGATATTTTTGTTTGTAATGGAAATCCTGCCGTAAAGGATGTTTAGCGTTTCCTCCCACCATCCAAAGGATGGATCCTCTACCAGTAGGTACCAAGGCCTCAGTGGCTGAGGTCCAGAAGTTGTAAAAAAGGGTTCAATCGAAATAACTTTGATAGCGCGAGTCAGGGTATGAATACTGTTTGTAGCCGCAGATTATAGGTGTCGCTAGACTACTACACCAACTCCAATAATCTACTGCAAAATAAAGCTACGACGATTTGGTGACGATGCGATGCGAAATAAGTCATAGCATTAGCCAGTTAAAGATAAATAAGTTTGTAATAGACATAACAACGGGCACGTATCGCGTGCGCAAGTACGTCGCGTGTTGGCGCGACTAGGCATTCTGGTGACGGCGGCTCAGGTGCGAGCACTGGAGACGCGATACCTCGATGACTGCGGCTTTCACTACGTCGCTTTGTTGGACGAGGTGAACCCAATATTATAAACTCTAACATCTTCTTAAGGAACAGAAGGAACTTAAAGTACGTATGTACTTTAAGTGCTTCTTGAGAATGCATTCTCGGACGTACCCATCCTTCCACAGGGGAGTCTTAAGGCACAGACTCAGCACAATTGCCCGACTCTAAAACCCACATACGAACCATCTTCCGCTTCATATCGATTCATAGCATAACTAAAGTTGCTCTTCAACCACTAAAACTATGATTGTAATCGCTGTACCAATTCAAAGTACCTACTTAATTGTAAAATATTACAGAAAAAAACTGAGGAGGTAATTTTAATTCCATAAAATATAATGATTTAGTTAGAGGAACGACCTGCAGAGAGCGCAACAATCGCAGGTCCTGCGCCGGCGCCACGACGACCTCAACAGAGCACGGTTGACCCCCTCGAGACTGATATTGTACAAATCCTTGCCAAGATCAAAGGAAAGGTACCCGAACGTAGCTTTATAGAAAAATATATGAAAGTTGATAGTGACAGACCCTCGATCTAGTCAGGCCATTAGTTAAGATAGTTATTTATATTGTAAAAGTATATTATGGTTTAGTAGAAGTTTGTTCAAACCCTTTTGCTCTCAACTATCTATCAGGAGCAAAACTATACCGGTATTACGTTTCATATATTATATCATAATTAATCGTTTTTTTAACACTTTATAAATATTCATTCAAATAATGTTGGTGTCATACACAACTTCATACTTCATGCTCATTTTCGCCTTTTTCTTAATGACATGATGATGTGTCATCGCAGATGGTGCGTGAAGGGGTGCGGCCTCGAGAATTTCTGTCTCAATTTGATCCGCGCCGAGAATTGATCATTTCTCGCGCTGACTTCTACCGTGGCCTAGGGGCTGCCGGCCTTGCCCTTTCACCTAGGGAGATGGACACTCTTATTGAAGTGTTAGTTGACTTGATATCTAGTTACTTATTGGAGTACAGCGATGACTTTGTATCGCTACCTAATAAATTAGGCCCTCTTTGTAGAACACAAATCTTGCTCTAACGAAACTTTTATTTTTGAAGAGAAAATTAGCTTTATTTAATTATTGTAATACACCTACTTAAATTCGTGTCAACCTGGAAATCGAACCGCTTAGAATGTTAATAACAAGCTATTTACACATTATTTGCAATCTGCATCAGGTTGGGAACACGAAACTAACGAACCACGAAATATTTGAACAATGTTGTGCCATAAAAAAGGGAGTGGAAAGAAAATATAGCTAAAGATAATATAATCATTTCGCTACACTGCCACTGTAGATTTTGTTCCCCGGGACGGCGGCGCTATGTGGAATACGAGCGTTTCTGTTCCACGGTGGGCGAAGCACTGACACAAGGCGGACTGGAACGAGCTCCACTGCTGGAACCAGTGCCACACGTTCCTACCATCGATTCGCCGCTTAACTTCTTGAACTTTGAAGAACGCAATATCGTCGCCAACGCGCTAACTAAACTCGCCAAGTTCCCAGACCAACTCTCCAATATACTCGAAGTGTTCAAGGTATTATAACTAGCCGTATGCCTATTTTATTAAAGATGAACGCGAAGACTTGTTTATAAAAAAAAATTACTACCGCCTGTCCAAATCTTTGGGCAAAATCACCGTCCTAAAATGAAATAGGTTGGTAATATAAAATCCCTGCTGGTAAAATTATAGCAACAAATGTTTTTCATTAAACATTTAACTTCTAAGGTACGACGAGTCTTAACCGTTTGATAATATTTACAGGATATTGACAAGGAACGGTGTGGGACGATACCACGCATCTCCGTAGAGCGCGCTTTGTGCCAACGAAACCTTTTGCAGCTAGTATCAGCCCGTGAAAGAGAGATTATTTACAAGTGCTTTGGGTACCGACGAGGCTGCGGCGATGAGGTACTACAGTACACTTCGTGTAAAATTCGTTATTATTACGTAATATTATGTAGGCAATATATTATACGAGAACCTATGTGAGCGTCAGAATGGCTGGTCACTAGTCGTGTAGAAGGTTAAAATGTCGTTTAAAAATTACTTCCCAATTGCTTCTATTTAATTCCTACTACAAGACAATTGCTTCCTTAGTATCTTGGGAGAACCACAACAATTTTAGTGACCGTCCATTCTGACGTCAGAATGGCTGGTCACCTATCCTATTGTACTCACTATAATGAATTATCGATTATTTCATAGTTCATATTTTGCTTCCTATTTGCTTCTTCCTAGGTTTTCCATCCTCGATGCTGTACCTATCATGGAATTAAAATATCGAACAATATTATTACAATACCCCCAGCGCCTGGTAAAAATATACAGGCAAAAAATATTTGGCTAAAATAAGTTTAATTATGGTTTATTTATATAAATATAGGTAGGTAGGTAGTAACAGAACCCCCTAACTATATGTACTTTAACGGTAAAAACTTTCACAAAGTAAAGGAATCACTTTTTTTTATATTGAATACAAGAGAAAATAAAATAAAATGAATTGGTATAATAGAAATAGGTAAATACTCATTCATTAATTTTTCTTAAGTCTTTTTAATTAATTTAATCTTATCCCTTTTTTTTTAACGTATACAATACAGTGTGGACTTCTTATTATCCTTGTATTCATATCATCGTAGCATTGCCATACATTTTCACGCCTACAATTTGCTTTATAGTGGCCCATTGTACCAATAGCAGGCGGAACAAATTCAATTATTGAAATCAATTCATATTCGTTACCCTGTAAAAATAGGTTTGTTGGTGCTTCATAAACAGAAACAGTTTCATCCGATATTTCAAAACTAATAATGTTGCGTAAGATCAGTTCAAATGATTTGATACCATCGCAAGTTGCTTGACGGCATGGTATAAAGGTGGGTGTATCGAGCATTTGTCTATTCGCTGCTTCTTCAATATCGTTTACATGTGTATCATGTAAACGTAAAACAGACACTTTTCTAACTAATTCATTTATAGGGCAGGTTGAATTAGTGCACGACGCTTTTTCATCTGCACTGTAAAGAGAACACTCAAGCAGAATTCCATCAAATATATATATATATATATATTTTTATATAAGTCTTTATCTTGCAATCAGTCAGCTAGACTACGAGCAGATGTGTTGAGAGCTGTTAGGCGTTCAAAGCAAAATCTCCATCGAGACTGCTCCTCTCTTTTAACCGTGTCTATCAAGACTTAGGATTTGTCGCCTTTTAAGCCTATTTATTCGGTCCGGTATGGTTAGTTGCGTGGCAAGCTTATTAGCATGCATTTCTAGCCTTTTTCTGTATTTCATACTCCAGGTCTTGATCTCCTCTTTGACAGTCCTGATTTTGAGGTGCTCATGAATCTCCGATGTTTTTATAAACCACGGAAAGTTGGATATTTGTTTCAAAATGTAATTTTGAACCCTCTGTATGATACTTATGTTAGAGTCACACGCCGAACCCCATAGTTGAATCAAATATATTTAATTATTTAACACATTACATTCACAAGCAACTTCTAGCATATCTCCGTTTTGAACCTTTTTAAAATAAGTTTTGGCAATGGATGATCTGATTTTATAAACCTCTTTATTGTTATTTTCACACATAGATCGGATGAGCTGGCACATAATGTGATCACTTTCATGTATTAATATAATAAATTATAATTATAATTCTGGTTGCTATAAATACAGGAACTGGTGCGGCTCTCAATTCGATTGAGCGGTCGAACCAAGCAGAAGCCTTTAAACAGTAGACTCTAATGTCGACATTAAATGGCTGATGCCAACAAACCAATCTACGACAATAAGAAGAATTAGTATTGGAATAATATAATTGTTGTAACGAAGCAAGCATTTTATTATACAACAGAATCGAATTATGAGAATTCATCACACAAGTGTAATAAAAATTAAACTACCCTCATTTAAGATAACCTCGGATTCATCATACCTACCTAAAAATAGTTGCAAATAATTTTAAATGAAAAATAACTTTATTTTCTCTTGTATTCAATATAAAAAAAAAGTGATTCCTTTACTTTGTGAAAGTTTTTACCGTTAAAGTACATATAGTTAGGGGTTCTGTTACTACCTACCTACCTATATTTATATAAATAAACCATAATTAAACTTATTTTAGCCAAATATTTTTTGCCTGTATATTTTTACCAGGCGCTGGGGGGTATTGTAATAACATTGTTCGATATTTTAATTCCATGATAGGTACAGCATCGAGGATGGAAAACCTAGGAAGAAGCAAATAGGAAGCAAAATATGAACTATGAAATAATCGATAATTCATTATAGTGAGTACAATAGGATAGGTGACCAGCCATTCTGACGTCAGAATGGACGGTCACTAAAATTGTTGTGGTTCTCCCAAGATACTAAGGAAGCAATTGTCTTGTAGTAGGAATTAAATAGAAGCAATTGGGAAGTAATTTTTAAACGACATTTTAGAGCTAGTTCAGACATGGCGGAATCCGTGCGGATGCAAATCGCGCGGTTAGACCGCGCGGATCTTATTTACATTAGCGCCTATAAATTCGTTCATACCTGTCCGCGCGGATTGACAAACCGCGCGGCTACCGCCACTCAACCGCTAGAAAATGAATTCGCGCGGTTGCCGCTCGGATCTATTTACTTGACGTACCTAGAGCGCGTTCAGTTGCTCTGCGGAAGCCGCGCGTATCGGACGGTGACAATGGATCGCTTCGACACCGAGCTATTCATCGATGAGGTGGAAAAGAGACCTGCTTTGTGGGACATCCAATGTGCAGAATATTCCAATAAAATTATTAGAAACGGAGCTTGGCAGGAGCTGGTGGATATTTTTGGAGAAAATGAGGATTCTTTGGAAAAAAAGGTTCTTTTTGGTCAGTATGTATTTAATTTTACATTTATCAGGGTAGTTTACATATTTTGTAATTGACAGTCCACCCCAAATATACCATATGGGTATCATTAGATGCAATTTGTTCACTGATCATTTCTAATAATTCATCAAATGAATTTATCGACATTCTCAAATAATTAAAGAATTTTGGTTCAAAACTTCTTAATTTTGGATATAAAGTCAGAAACTGACCATGGGTGAGCCGATCACGTAATATTGGATGCACCCAATACTGCCGTTTCTTCTTTCTTTCTTTTTTACGGAGCAACAAGTACACACATATTGCTTCTTCGACTTCCATGATTGGACTAGAACGCTGTCACTCTATGCGGATTACGGCACTCCGCATTTACATCCGCGTCTGTCTGAACACTTGCGTTTAGAACCGCGCGATTTGCATCCGCACGGATTCCGCCATGTCTGAACTAGCTCTTAACCTTCTACACGACTAGTGACCAGCCATTCTGACGCTCACGAACCTATGGGGTCGCTCTTTAAAAATACGAACTTGTCTTACCATGGTATTGCCTCGACGATTGTTCATTCATTAGTTACTCTGTAAAACCATACGTTGAACAATTAAATATTAATGTAGTTATATTTTTGCGCCGTTTCAGGTGAATTACCGAGCCTTGTGTAATGCACTCGACGTTCTCTTCGCTACATCTGCCCAGCCATGTTAGGATTTTTAGTTAGCATTAAATAAAATTCTTTAATATCGAATATTTAAATTTCCTACCCCAATATCCTAATTTTTTTAATTTTACTAAGGTGAAAAGAGGGAGGGGGGCTTACAATTAAACGAAAATGCATAATGAAATAATGACAAACACTGAAGTCAATATTTTATTTACACTTTATTAGACATACACAAATTGTATATCTTTAGAATTGTTCAAATCTGAACTTACACTAATTTCAATCCTACGATTTGGAGAACACTATTCCATATAAAATACATCAGATTTTGTTCGATTTATATCAAATAAAACATACAAATCTACATGTTCCAGAGATCTTTAACTTCCGGAGGGGGAGGCGGTGTTGGGAGAATAAGCGATCACGCTCACAAACAAAATAACAATCACGCTACTCTTGCATACTGACGCCCGCACACGCCTCCATAAGGATTGGGGCCATGGAATTAAGCTCTATCATAATTGTTTTACTATGACAACGTAACCGGCGTAAAATAAACCCTAAAGTAAAAAAAACCGATAAAACAAATAATAATTAAGCACATTATCTTATCTATTAATTTAATACATCAGTCAAAGTGGTATTGTGAATATATTTCCATTGGTACCAAAAATGCCAGTTACGTTGTTGCAAACGGGACTGCAGTTACTCAACAATCAGTTAATGTTAATCATTCAAAATTGAATTTATTCAATAATACTCAAGTAATCTATTAATCCATACTATATTATAATAATTTTATCAGAGGCCAGATGCGGCCACGTCTTAGCGACGTACTTTTTCGACTTAAAATCTTCTTATTTAAGTTTTCTTAATTTACTTATGTGGAATGGAATGAGGCTACCCGTGAGCTCGCACGGGTTGCGCTCATCTCCGCTGGACTTAACCTGAAAGAAAAGCACAAATAATAAATATATGTGCACCAAAGAAACGTTTAAAAGGCTAGGATTTGTTGGGTCAGACAGTGTAAGACACGGCTTTCGTCTTAGAAACGGCCACGCCGGTAGGTTCTGCTATTTCTAGCACCGGCGTGTTGATTCCACCCCTCGGAAATATTTTTGTCATCAGTATTCTTTAATTATTCCAAATCCATCATTAATATTAATATGAACCGACCTTAATGGAGTGAGATGACTATCGTGTCGGCAGGTACTGTCTAGTAGGGCTGGTGCCTCTGGTTGGCACGGCCACCGCCTCCGCCGCCGCCACCACCGCGTTGCTTACCACCCTGGTAACCCGCTGTTGAATTTGACCCTACAGTAGAACCGACATCTAAAAAAACAATCTTTTGAACAATGTCGACAACCCACGCTAAGATGTTATAATCAGCAAGATTACCGACAATAGCGACGTTACGACGACGAAAAACATAACCCATTATATCCGCAAAGTTAAGGTCAGTTTTTCAGTAAAATAAAGTTATAATGGGGCACATTTTGTAACATTTATTGTGTGTCTATGTTAAGTAAGACAGTTCTACGTTTACTTCACACATCATGCAATGTACATTCATATTTCCGAAAACGATTATGGTTTTATAAAATTAGTTTTAATCTAATAATTCTACATCGGTGCACTAATATAGGAAGGAGAGCCTGCGGGTCAATTTTGAATAGGTACTTTTAATATGTCGGACGTGCAGTGTTACTTTTCTAAGCTTAAAATAAAACGAAATACGTAATTTGTGAGTTGCCAATCGATAAAGCGGGAACTATGACTATAATGAGTGAACTTAAGATTGATTATCGCCGCCTTTTTAAATACACTATTGTTCTGCTCAAACTGCGACAACCAATCTATCCAACAACCTCGGTATTGCCAGCAGTATTACTATATAACATAGTTGTTATTTAAAAGGCGGCACTGCCAAGATTGCATAGCTAATGAAAGGTGAGTTGTATCAATGGGCAGAGGTGGGCTGTACCTTTCCCACGAGGAGCCGCGCGCGCGCCGTAGCCACCCTCGTACCCTCCGTATCCGCCGTAGTCTGCCCGCAACACAAAGCCGTTAATAGCTAGCCTTGCTCTTATAACCCTATTTGTAACACCCTTCGTATCTGTGCGAGCGCACCCCTACATCTCAGTGAGCCTCAACTCTCCTACCTATTTAATTCCGTTTTAGGTTTGCTTACCTATATTCTACTAAATGAAGGTATTCAGTCAATTTGAGAGTTAATCATTGACCATAACTATAATATATTTGAAAATCGAGAAATAACACGAAGTAATTACTAGTTAGTACTGCAAAATTTCTGTTACGAAATAGATCCTATATGCATTGATGATGGTTAGTGAGCAACCCCACCTGTGAAAAGTTACTCCATGTGGCATGCAGATGAGATCTGTTCAAAATGAAGGCGCGGGTCTGGGAATGGGCAGGGCGGGTGCAATGAGGAATGGGGCATATATGGAAACACATTGATTTTTGGTAACAGTGCTTTATTCAAAAGCTTCATCATATCTTTATCACTTTCACAATGTCTCTCCATATATTACCCCAATTACCCAGATGTAGCATGTGGCAAGAGTATATAAGGTAAAATAAAAATATACCAAAATAAATAGAAAACTCGGGCAACGATGCTACATATGTCAAAAGTGGTATTACAAAAACACTTAAAAAGATAAGGCGGTAACATATATGTACAGAACATAACCTAGTGAAACAATGATAAAGAGTGATTGCTCTCACCTGAGACACTAGCAAAATGGAATTTAAACAAATGCAAATCAGCCAAAGAATTAAAACATTAGATTAGATTACAAAGAGTGCGATTACGTCACCCGTTCACTACACATTATCTCGATAGAATATCAATGTAAATACGTAGCTATTATAGAAAAATAAATATTTTCTAAGGACTAAAGTATACCTAACGTTCACTGTACGTCCATAGGAGGCATCTCAGGGACGGACTCTCCTCAATACACGCTAAGCCTAACGAGCCCGCTCGCCGCCTCTGCCTGCTTATTGCTACGTGGACCATTATTACTATTAATAGTTAATCTCAACAAAGGTTTTTCCAAATAGCAATAGAGCAGACCCCACTAATTAAAGATCATTTACTCCGATGGCTTGAAACTATGACATTGCTGTAAAGTCAAACTTCTAGCAGTCAGAGTAAAGAGTGTTGCGGGGCGAGCGCGGCGACGGCGGGCACCTTACGTCTACATTTACATTCTACTATCAGGTAACATCAGTCGAGGTAATGTGTCGGTGAGAACGCGCCCTAGTGTTGCTTGCCGCGTTTACCGTAATTCGGGTATCCGGAGTAATCGTATCCGCCATAGCCGCCGTAGCCGTCGTAGCCATAGCCGCCATAGCCGTAACCATCGTAGCCGCCGCCGTAACCACCCTGTCCGTAACCGTAACCGCCATAGCCCTGATTGCCCCACGCGCCCTGGCCGCCGTAGCCGCCGCGCCCTCCGCGCCCACCCCGCGCACCCCGACCTCCGCGGCCTCCCCGCCCGCCCATCGCACCGGGTCCATCCGGTTTGGGCGTCGCTCTCTTTACATCAACCTGCAATCACATTCATGTTAGACCTATATGAAATTTTATAGATAATTAGAAGATAAGATATATGTGCAATAATTTTTTTTAGGTTTTTTATTCTGGTGAAAAAATAAACATTCTTTACAGTTATTATGATAATAAAATATTGTACAAACCTCTTTGCCTCCAATAGTCTGTTTGGGTGTCTTGAGAAGTTCATTCACAACTTGTTCAGACTCAAATGTAATGAAACAGAAACCTTTCCTTTGATTTTTTGTTTTGTCAAAAGGCATCTCAACTTCTATTATCTGTAAAGAAGAAATTTCTTGTAAAATTTTTTTATCAAGACAGGATATTTTATATATTTATACAAATTAGATCAGTGGCCCGGGTTTATCTACAGTAAATTGTGCAGAATTATTTATCTCACCAATTCCGGTTTTTTCATCAGTTAAACTGTCCTCTTTCATTTCATTTGCAAAAACAATTATAAGTAGTACTTAAATAATAAAAACCTACCGTCCCGAAATTTCCAAAGAAATTCTTGATTTCATCATCTGAGATTTCACTGCTGAGACCACCAACGAATATTTTTCCATGTCTGGCTTTAGCCTTCTTAGGATCAACTTTTTTATTATTGATGGTGTGGTCGCCCGCGGCCATTACTTTGTCAATCGACTCTGGGCTTTTAAACACAATAAATGCGAAGCCTCGTGATCGGCCAGTGTTGGGGTCAGTCTTGACATTGATACTCTCTATTTCACCATATGCACTAAAGTGATCACGTAATTCCTCTGAAAATAATAAGCCTTGGTAAAAACACAGCCAGTAACAAAATAAAAATAAAAAATAAAAAAAAATATCAGGAATGTGGGTAAATGTTGTCTTCAAATTTATCAGAAGCAGAACTGATACGATCATCATGTTAATAAAAATAATTTATTATCAAAAGCATGAAGTAAAGAATCAAAAAAACTTACTGTCTGTTGTTTCCCAGCTCAATCCACCCACAAATAGTTTTCTGCAAATATCACAATGTTCAGTTAATATGGATAATGTATATTACGTACGACAGATGTGCCGCGATGTGAAACTGACTTAACAATTACAATTTAAAACATTATAAATTATGACTATAAACTATGCAGTACTTGTTTACAGTACTTTACAGCTAATTTTTGTCAAATAAAATAAAACAACTCCAAGCACTGCAGCAAAGCAAATTGAGAAACCTGTAAGTTACAAAAAAATCTGCAAAATTTATGTTGAGACAACGAGAATGTTACAGTTTAACGCAAGATTTGAAATTGGCAAGAGTGACGGGCCCAAATTTAAGTGGCCGAGACAATCTAGTCAGTTTGATCGAGGTTTACTTTAGTGTGAGCCCAGCAGATATATACCATAGCGTCCTCCGGCGACAGCAGCTGCGGCGGCGCAGGCTCACACCTGCAGAGAGACAGGCTGTTAGTAGCTCCAACTGACCGGGCTGCTCTACCGCCTAATTATGATACTTGGAGCACCCATTTAAAATCTTGCTACATGTATTTTGCTAATTCGTGGATATCAACGTCCACGTTATTAACCGTAACATTCAAACCACAAAGAAAGCGTAATGACCGAGAGAAAATCGATAACGGGAATTGCCGGCGGAGCGAGGGACGCGCGAATGACGCCATTTTACATCATGCGCCATCAAAATAACTTTTGATAAACTAAAAAAAACCTGGGTTAATCTGAAATGAAAACTATTATTCTGAAGACTAAATTTAACCCGTGTACAAACCACTGCAAAGATTGGAATAACTAATTTGAAATCGATCTAAAAGATTATAGTAGATAGAAATAACCAATATCATCATAGTATGCCGACGCGCCGCCATTGCGGCGTACTAATTTTTTATACTATAATAGAAGTTTATACACATAATAAAATAAGGACAGCGCGAAATATACAATTAAATACATCGATTTAAGGACAAAACAATAATATTTTGAAAACTATATAAATAAAATAGACTATTTAAATACCTGTCATCATCGCGTCCTGGGGCATCGGCACTATTTTGTTCTAATCCACCATCTCCTCCGCCATTTTCCGCGTTTCCGTTTACTTGATTTTCAGTAATATCTTGTGCGAAGTTATCGTTATTAGCCATGACTTATGAATAGACTTAAAGTAACAATAAACTAAAACTAAGGTCTAGACACGACCGTCAGTTACGAATGCAAAACGCAGAAGAAAGACGAAGTGACGCAGGAATTATGCTACGAGTCGGCGCGATATTTTTCGAACGTTGGCTAACTGCAGAAAAACGGCGTCATTTATACCCCTTCTCTAAGCTGAGCCAATGAGCGTCGGCCCGGCCCAAGGGTCAACGGCATCATTACCTGTCAACAAGGAGAGCGAATAGCACTTGGTAATGTGAGAAAGAGAAAGACAATACGTATCACAATCAATAATATTGCCAACATTACAGTGCAAGTTTTGCCGCCATTCTATGGTAACAGATAACCATAAGTGAAGTTGTAGAAAGTATTATTTTGAGCAATATAGAATATAAAAAGAATAGTAGTACTGAGTACATTTTTATCTCATATTTACGACATTTGAAGATGTTCTGCCCAAGCTTTTATTTTGTAGCATAAAAAATACTTTGACGCTGATAATAATATCGTAAACGACATTATAAGTTCCACATTTCTGGATTTCATTTGTAGGTTCTATAGTCAATATTAAATAATTTAAAACGGTTTTTAAAATCTTGTCAAATAGTTCATTAAAGTACCGTAAGTAAGTAGTATACATCTTTTTCTAGTAGGGTATCTATTAAATTCAAGGTTTTTGTATTTTTTTCTGAAAGCATCATTTATGGTAAAGCCTAACATAAAATGGGAGATTGGGCACGTACAAAAGGGAAACTTGGTTCTAAATTTATCAAATTTATCATTTCAATTTTTCAAAATTCATCAAAGTTATGACCATGTAGCGAATCGTAGATACGCAAACTAAACGAACATTTCAACAAAAATGTTCGTTAAGTATAGTCAACAAAAAATTTAGTTTCAAAACATTAAATGATATAACAACATATTATGTTGTTATTCAAAACATGCATACATTACGTTTAAAATTTGTATACATATTTTGCTTGTGGCTTTGATGCATTAAAATACCAGAGTTTTGTTAAAAAATTCTATTTAAATTTTCCTATTTCTATTCTGTGGACGTTAATGGTCTTAAATATTTTTGGGATACTGTTTATCATCTGTGTACTATTTGACACCGAACGGTGAGGTAGGCTCTTTTTCTGTTTTCAGTGCTTATTTTTCGTGAAAATTACACGATATTCGTGATAGTTTGTTGCAGTTTATACATTTTTGATGCCTATAATTTACTGAGGTAAGTCTTTTACTTAAAATTCAAGAACAGCCGTATGAAAACACTATTTTTATTGTCGGCAGACAAATTACTGCCTAGAGGTTAAAATCCTGATGTTTCCTTTTTCTGGTGTTAGAGGAAGTGACAAGCAGTTGAATACTACCTATGCCTTTAAAACTTTAGTTCTCCGGGTAAAATTGTTTACACATCCTAACTTTTTGGAAGTACTTCAATTATTATAAATATATATATGGGACTCGCTAATCGCCATGCATGCTTTGACACTACGAAAATTAACTACAAATTTACTAGCACGTAATTAAGATATGTATCATTAAGAAGTTAAAGGGTCTAAATATTATTTATGTTCAATCCTGATGCTCTCATGAAAACGGCTATTTGGAATAATAAAAAGTTATTCTCGTTAATTTATTTAACTTTTGACATCTTATTAATGTAAAACAAATCTTTTGTTACTATCTACTACTCAATAAATGTTTCTCTTATTATGGAATATTATCTCTGGAATTTCTTAAAACACTATTTGAATGTCCAGTAACTCAGTTAATGAGAACAAAAAGTCAAAGTTTATGCAGAGTAGTCTTAAACAAACATTTAATTAGGTAGTATGGGTCATTCTGAACTTATGCTTTTGGTAAATAACATATTTTTTTTGTGTGATTTGGTCCTTGTTTAAAATAGCTGGTTTAAGGTTATATTATATTGAATAGGTGGATTGAGCAGGCAGATTGAGGCTACCAACTAAGAGTTTGTGTTTATACTTTTATTGAAATTATAGAACATAATGAATTTTAAATTTGGCTGTAGAAAACAAAAGAAACAAATACTAACTTTTACATTTAAAAATATGGTTACAAATGCTGATTGAAAATACTGCTATAACTGTCTATTTCCTGCAATGATTAATCACATTTTAAGCAATCTATTATATCAATAATTGATTTAAAATTGGAATATTATACTTACCTAGAAATAAAAAGAAATTTTCCTAATATCTTAACACTGACATACAAAATATGTTTTAAATATACTTTTTTATGTATTTTTAAGAAACTGTCTTTGACAGTATGAAAAAATTAAGTCCTCAACTGGAATAAAAACTGCTTTAAATGAGACACTGAAGTTAGTTTTAGAGAAATAATTTTCATTGTTGCAATTTGATTGGTGAGCTTGGAACAATGCAGCATTAGCTTCACACTTTACTAATATGGATTGCATTTTTAATCATACAAATACTAAACAATTGTTGTTGCTATTTTCAGAGTGAAAGCGCAGGGGTGTATCGGCGCACAGTGAACAGAGCAATGGTAATGGAGGCGTCCCCGTCACCGCAGAGCGTTGGCCGCGAATTCGTTCGACAATACTACACGTTGCTCAATAAAGCGCCCGCCCACCTGCACAGGTAAGACACTTCTTAATAAATGTATGAGTGGTTCTAATATGCTTAAACTGGGAAAATTATTTTGTGAATAGTATATTACAAGTGCATATGATGTGATATATTGTGCGTGTCATGGGTCTAATGAAGTAACACAATTTGTAACAATATATATTGTATAGTGTATACAATATCATTATAAAAAAGCTTTACTCATCAGAACTTCTTAAGTATTTTTTTCATATCAGTTTCTAATATTAAGTGGGACATTAACTAGTATGCAATTTTCCAATGCACATACAGTCTGTGATCTTATACAATATTACATATTGTACATCATAAATAGTATAGCAATCACCATTCAGAAAATTATTGTTTGACTCAAATTCGCCATTGGTGTATGTTAAAGTATAAATGCAAATTGTGTTTGTTTACTGCGCTTTCACGCCTACACTACTGAATAAATTAAAATAAAGTATTGTATAGAGATAAACTTCTTAATATTAGTGTGATTTGAGTGTAGATGATGGCAAGAACATTATTTCTATGAGAAAGTTTAATGTTGACTGGATTATTCTATTTGGTATGTAATAACCTTAAAAACCCTTAAATCTAAATACACAATAGGAATAAATTAGCACAATATAGTGAAACAACAAAGCCATACCCCTTTGTTGGGATTCTCAGATGTTTCATTGTTTCCTACTCTTTGACAAAAGAGATTTGTTCTGGCTTCTTTACCTGCCCATTTATCCGTATTATATAACAAATCTGGGGCATACGAATCGTGGTATTTTACGCCAAAAAATACCATGCCAGAACAATACATTTTAAAAGGAATATGCAGCAGACAATGGAACTTCAGTTATTGTTTATATTTAATATAATATACAGAAAAATTTCGTTTAGTAAAACATGTGGCATTTTTTTCATATTTAAGATTTTCATATCACACTAAAACTTTACATTAGTCTCAGATTCACCTGTTTCATACAGAAAATTAATATATAATACTAGCTGGCCCGGAAAACGTTTATTTTGCCATGTAAACGTTTATTTTGTATATTATTTCTAGGAAACATTTTTTTAGTTAAATAATAATAATTATCTACAATATTAAAAAATAGGGGTTGAAAATTAGGGGTAATGTATATTTTTGTATGCTTTATCATAACAAAAAAAAATGTCTAAATAATAAAAATGTGTTTTTGGAATGGACACCCCTTATCACTTAGGGGTTCGAAAGATAGATAGTAGCCGATTCTCAGACTTACTGAATATGCATAAAAATATTCATAAGAATCGGTTGAGCCGTTTCGGAGGAGTATGGGAACGAACATTGTGACACGAGAATTTTATATATATATAGAGATTATGTAAGTAGCTTATTAAGTAAATGGCTCATATTTCAAACATCTATTTTACGATCAAGTGTTAATGTCACACAGAAATAAAACTTATTTATTTTCCATTGTTACATAATTATCTGTTGTATTCTTTAAAAATAAATCTATAAAAAACCATCAATGCACAGCTAAGGTTCAAACAAACACCAACTGCAATGAAGTGCACACTTACCACCACTTAGTCAAATCAATGCATCAAAATAAATTTAATATGTAGTACAGTTTCCTTCCTACATAGGTGAAGTACGCTATTGATTATGTCAGTGAACAAAATTTAGCACCAACATTAAAATATCCTTATACATATAAATATTACGTGTATCAAATTATTGCAGTAAACATACTGTAAGAGTGATGTCATCATCAAGAATATTACAGCTTCCAAACATGAATATGTTTTCATTGCTCAAACATTCAAAATTTTTATCTGACTGATAGATAACACATAACTTTGCATACTAGAGTTACTATCTTAATATATATAAATTACGTGTCACGTTGTTTTTACGCTGTGGACTCCTAAACTACCGAACCAATTTCAATCAAATTTGCACACTGTGTGCAGTTTGATCTAACGTAAAAGATAAGATAGCTTACATCTCAATTTATACCCGCAATATTATATTATTGCAAAATATTTGTTTATTATTTGATAGTCACAATTCTAAAAGATGGCGCTGTGTTGAAAGTACCAACGTTTCACATAAGCTACAATTTAATGGCATTACCACCAAAAAAGCATGGTGGTCCCCATGACTGGTGTTCTCCTAGAATAGGTTACTACTATGTAATATAACTAAAACCTTAGCCACAGCAATGCTTGGCGGACTGCTAGTATAATATGAATGATGCAAAAAGTATTGTGTTGTTATTATCATTGTAGCTTGGTAATAATTATTAATACATTGTATTTGTTACTCTGAATAGTTAAAGAAAGTCTGTTTACAAATTAATCTGTTTATTTTGTTCAATATAAATTAGTTTGCGGACTGTAGCTATATAGAGAAATATTTAAAATTATGATTTTATTATACATAACTGCAGCTTCATTTGAATCTTAACAGTTACTGTTTGAGATCTTATAATACACTTTAGGTTTTGGATAGACACATTTCTGCGACTGTTTGATATTACTAAGCATGGTTTAAAAAAGGAATTGTGTAGCTAATGTGTCTCCCAACCCAGAACAATTACTGTTTTGCCTGAAATCCAAGACCACTAGCTATAACCACTATATGGTCATATGTGTATGATGTAATAATTAGAATGATTGTCTCAGGTTTTACAACAACTACTCGTCGTTCGTGCACGGCGGTCTCGATGCGCCTAACCGTGAGACGCTGCCAGTTGTAGGGCAGAAGCAAATTCACAATCGTATACAGCAGCTCAACTTCCGCGATTGTCATGCCAAGATTAGCCAGGTACAGTCCTCACAATCACCAAGTTTTTTTTTGAATTGTCCATAACTATCTTTCAAAATTGAAAAGAATTTCATAATATAAATAATCATTGAGTATACTAGCGTTAAGTTCTCAATTAGGGCATGGGGCATCTTTGTGCATGTTTTAATGATCAAAGTACACATACATAACAAGGTAATTAGGCATTTGTTTTTATTAGAATACTGTATAGACGGCGAACTTTATTTAAATTTTTTAACTGTAATACATATTTCTTTATATTATATCTATATTGTAATATATATTTTATATAATATATCTATATATATAATAGATTTAAAGAAAAAACTTTTTACCGGATTAAAGTTATGTATTATTATAAATTTACAATTATTTAACATAATTTTAAATTTATCCGGCGTTTCGCGTGCTTTACAGCGTGCGTGGTCACCGTTTAAATGTGTAAAGGTTATGATAATCAAAGACAATACTATGTATAATAGATTTTTCAAATATTTATAAAGGAATAAGCTAGGTAAAATTGATTTGTATATGACTTTCTCTCCGTAATAAAATGCAGTAGTTTGCTTCTATATTTAAGGTCACTTATGGTCATTGTAAGGTTTATTGTGTTAAGTAGAGTTTAAAATTTTTATAAAAACTTAAAGGTTTAAATAATATGTATATTAACAGATTAACTTATAAAATATCTTCATTTACAGGTGGACGCTCAGGCGACTCTAGGCAATGGAGTAGTGGTGCAAGTGACTGGCGAGTTGTCTAACGGTGGCGCCCCCATGCGTCGCTTTACCCAAACTTTTGTACTTGCCGCTCAGTCACCCAAGAAGTACTATGTGCACAATGATATCTTCCGGTACCAGGTGTGTATACATTTTTGTATATTCTGACCGTGTGTTACAAGTCACCCTGTTAGCTCTCTAATATTTATATTGCTTTTTGTAAATAATTGTTAGATACCATTAAAAAACAAAAACTAAACGCATTTGAAATATTTATAGCTGAAGGGTCATAGAAACTCAATCACTCCGCTGTCCCAAAATGTTTCTTGGCCTTTGTATTGAGAAACTTCTGATCCTTGTCCAGTGCCACTTCCCAGTTGCTGGCTTTAAGGTTCTCCCCCACTTTGTCAATACAGTGGCATCTGGGCCGGGCCTATGAATCTTTTTGCAACAATTTTGTATTATTTATTTTTTTTCTTGCCCACTGACATGTATACATTACATTGTTTAGTACTAGCCCCCCTCCATCCTTTCGGCTGATTGTCTTTTGCTTTTGTCAATGTGATCTCTTTAAAACTAATATAATAAACAATAATTTGATTTTTTTCTCATAACGTTAGTCTAATATTATAGCCTTTATATTCTGAAACTCTGTGATCTGTGATCTTCATTATATTAGGTCCTTACATATGAAATTGGCGTATTTCGTACTGGCCACTTTAATCACGATGTTCTCCTCTTTGGTAAGGAATTCCAAATTCAAATTTGTACAGCTATTTACTCATGTATTTGTGCTTCGATGACCGTCATTCATTTGTTTTTTTCTGTTTGCGTCACTCATTTTACAAAATGGAAAACTTAAAGTATCGCATTATTTACGAGTACGAGTTCCGCCGTGGCACTAGTGCTGCGGAAACGACTCGAAGGGTGAATGATGTGTATGGCGGTCATGTTGCAAAAGAAAACACAGTTCGGTTTTGGTTCTGGAAATTACGACCTGCAGAACAAGCCCAGTGGACGGCCTGAGACCCAAGTTGATAATGAAGTATTGAAGGCTATTGTGGAAGCGAATCCATCGCAAACCACGTCCGAGTTAGCTGCAGGCTGCGGTGTTAGTGATAAAACTGTTTTAATTCACTTGAAGCATATTGGGAAGAATAAAAAGCTTGAAAGATGAAGTACCTCACGAATTCACTGAAGCAAACCGGCAAACGCGCGACGACTGCTGCGTTACATTACTGAACCGGCACTATAATAAAGGTATTTTAAACCGAATCATTACCTGTGATGAAAAATGGATTCTTTACGATAATCGTAAGCGCTCAGCGCAATGGTTGGATCCTGGCCAGCCAGCCAAATCCTGCCCCAAGCGAAAATTAACCCCAAAAAAGTTACTTGTAAGCGTTTGATGGACTAGTGCCGGTATTGTTCAGTTTCTCAAATCTGGCCAGACGATTACGGCTGATGTCTATTGTCAGCAATTGCATACCATGATGGAAAAGCTAGCGGCTAAACAACCTAGGCTGGTCAATCGCTCCACGCCACTGATTTTTCACGACAACGCTAGACCACACACTGCACAACAGACGGCTACCAAATTAGAAGAGCTTCAATTGGAATGTCTACGACATCCTCCGTACTCCCCGGACATTGCTCCAACAGATTACCATTTTTTTCGAAATTTGGACAACTTCTTGCAAGGGAAAAAATTTAACTCTGATGTGGCAGTCCAAATCGCCTTCACAGATTTTATTGATTCCCGTCCGACTGTTTTTTTTAGTAAAGGGATCAATGAACTACCTATGATATGGCAAAAGTGCATAGAAAACAATGGTTCATACTTTGATTAATTAAATATATTATATTTAAAAATATTCGACTTTTGTTCCTCCCATACAAAACGCCAATTTCATATGTAAGGACCTAATATTTTCACTATAGTATATCTCGGAGTTTGGTGTGCCTCTTGACCCTGTTCTTGTTCATTGCGACTCTTCTCCAGTTGTAGCCTGCTGTTAGTCTGAATTCGTCCTCACATCTTTTGCGTTGTCGGCCTCTACTTCGTTTTCAGTCTCTAGGGTACCAGTCCGTCAATATTTTGCTCCATTTTACATGGAAACTCCGTAGCATATGAACCTTCCATCTCTATTTCAATTGGTCTATCTTAGTCAGAATGTCTGTCACACCTAGCTCTTGTCTGTGTTTCTTTGCTTGTTCTCAGCATGTTTCTTTCCATGGCTCTTTGGTAGTGTGCTAGCATGTCCCTGGCTAACATTAGTAGTAAGATATAAAATATGTTTTTTAATGTAACCATAAAAATGTTAATTGCTAAGTAGAGTTTTCTGTATGTAAATTGTTTTTTTACAGGACATAGTCTTCTCGGACGAGGAGGGTGAGGGCAGTGGCCGCTCCGAAGGTGAAGAGGAGGAGGTATCTCCCGCGGCCTACTTCCCCGCAGGGGGCTTTCCTCCTCCGCCTTTCCCTGCACCCCCGCAGCCACCGCACGCACCGCTGGTGTCGCCCCCGCAGCCCACGCCCCCCGTGCAGCCCGCAGTGCAGCCTACAGTACAGCCCGCACAGCCCACGCAGCCCCATCTGAACGGCCATCCCCACGAGGACCCCACGAGGCACCTCGTGTCAGCTTTACAAGGTTCGTATGTTTTATTTTATATTCAGTACATATTATGTAGAGAATCATGCTTAATATAAGACTACCGGATCGATGGACAGCTTCAAAAATATGAAAAAGAACAAACTTCAGTGACTTGCTACAAATATAAGAAAGCTTAAATGGAACTGGACTGGACATATAATGAGGACATACAAAGAAAAATGGACTAAGGGGCCCCCCCCCCCCCCCCCAAACCCAAAAAAAAAAAAAGCGGGGCCCCCCCCCCCCCCCCCCCCCGCGGGGGGGGGGCGGGGGGGGCGCCGCCCCCCGGCGCCGGCCCCCCCCCCACCCCCCCCCCCCCCCCCCCCCCCCCCCCCCGCCCCCGAAACCGCCCCCCCGCGCCCCCCCCCGGGGGCGCGGGCGGGCGGCGGCCCGCCCCCCCCCGCCGGCGGGCCCCCGCGGGGGGGGGGGGCCCCCCCCCCCCCCCCCCCCCCCCCCCCCCCCCCCCCCCACCCCCCCCCCAACCCGGCCGTTTTTCCCCCAGGGCGGCGCAAACCCCCCCCCACCCCGCCCCGCGCCGGGGGACAGAGACACCACAGCCTCAACCTTTAGTTTTATGCGACTTACGACTAGTGGGAACGGGCTGTAAGGATGTAATAGAGTGGTATCCGAGGAACGGGAAATGAAAACAAGGAGGTCAAATTAAAAGAAGGGAAGACGATCTGCCAAAAGAATGGAGAAGGTCTGCCAAGGATAGAGGAAACAATTGGGGGAGGCCTATGTTGACCGACAACCTGACCAAAGTGGTTATTAATATATTATTACTTTCGCTATGTAAATTAGATTTAAGAATACTTCAGTTAAATAAGAATAGCATATAAGTTAAAAAGGTTAGCGAATAAAGGGATTTCTATATTATTATTATGTCTACATAATAAGTATCTTTATACAATTCCATACATATACCATATACTTTCAAATTTAACAAAGCTTTATGGTGAAAGCCCGAGTTAAGTTAGGTGGCGGTTGTTAGGATGTTCAAATGAATTAAATGAAACACTTTGTTTGAGGCTGGGTTTCAACTGGCTTTAATTGTTTAAAACATGAGCTTATAACTAACATAAAATTAGGGTTGCAACGCTGGATTAACAAAAAACTAACTTGACTTATTGAAGGTTTAAATCTAAGTGACACTTATGTTACATATAAAGACTAAATGTAGTCGCCCTATTGCACATTATCGGAAACGAGAATGTTGTTGATGAGTGTGGGAAAAGCTAGAGCTCATTTTGGCTTCAAGTGTGCGATGGTTGCTAACATTTGGTTTGCCATTCTAATTATTAACTATATATGTTATTAAATAGTATTAGGTTATGGAACTCCCGAGACGGGATTGTCAATGTATAGGGTGTTATGTCTTTCCTAGACATCTTGGTGAAATAAAAAAAGAATTATAAATTGTATAGTTTCCCCTTTTTACCCTTTTTGTTGACGACATGTAAAATTTAACTTAAAAAAATTGTTGTAGGTGCGTCGGTTACAAGTGCTCCACCGTCAGAGGAAAGCAATGAAGTGATCTCGGAGCCACCGCCTCAGCCCGAACCGGAGCCCGAGAGGGAGCCTACGCCCCCGCCGCAGCCTGGTAAGTGATATTGAGGGTGTTTTTAATTTTTCAATAAAAATATCTCTATATCTCACTAACATTTTTGTTCGTTTCTCGTGCAAATAGAAATAGTTCAAGAAAGCTCTTCTCATTACGTAAATTATTGTTCCGTCACTAACAATTGTAAAGAAGAAATATATTAAATTTTTATTCTATTTGTTTATTGTATGTTAGTGTGTTTTTTTTAAATAAATGAATAAATATTTTGACTGAAAGAGACGAGAGAGCATTTTAGTTACAATAAACTACATATTTGAGCAGTGTTGGACTAGTGGCTTCAGCGTGCTATTTTCATCCCTGATGCCGTAGGTTCGATCCCCGGCTATGCACCAATGGATTCTCTTTCTATGAGCGCATTTAACATTCGCACGAACGGTGAAGGAAAACATAGTTAGGAAACCGTCTTGCCTTAGACCCAAAAAGTCGACGGCGTATGCGTTTTAAAACAGATTCAAAAACCAGAAGCCCAGACCTAAAAAGGTTGTATCGCCAATGATTTATTTATTTATTTTTTAAACTACATATTATTATTATACACAAACGTATCACTCGTTACTTGAAGTTACGGAGTACCGTCATATACATACAATTTCGGTCTAGCAGCTCTAGATAAATTTTTATCTAGTCAAGCTTAAATCTTCGAAATAACTTGACGCGTTTTGTTTTATTCAGTGTCTCAAGCGCCGCCGGAGCCGAAGACGTACGCAAATCTGCTGAAGTCGGGCGGAACTCGCACGTCTCCGCCCGTTGCGCCCGCTCCTGCCCCCGCTCCGGCTCCGGCGCCCGTTCCTCCGATGGAGCAGCGTAATCGTCCGCCACGAGCGCATCCCAACGCTGGTATGCTTATATTATACGATTGTTGATTTTAAGTATTTTATGTCTTAACAAAATGTCGTATCAATTTGCATTTGGTAAAACATTTCTTTACCGAATTTCTTCTATCACAGCCGTGACCTCGGAAACTCGCGAGAACCGCGAGCCGCGCGAGTCCCGCGAGCGCGAGGGTCGCGAGGGCCGCGAGGGTCGGCGGTACTCGGACTCGCAGCAGCTGTTCCTCGGGAACCTGCCCCACTCGGCGACCGAGGAGGAGCTCCGAGCTCTGTTCGAGCGATACGGGCCGGTCGCCGAGCTGCGCGTGCACGGAAAGGCCGCGGCGCCCGGGGCCACCAGGCACCCGAACTACGGCTTCATCACGTACGAGAGCGCCCAAGCGGCGGCCGAATGTCTGAACGCCGCTCCGCTGTTCTTCCCGCCCGATGCCCCGGAGAGCGACCGCGTGAAGCTCAATGTGGAGGAGAAGAAGACTCGCGGAAGGGACCCACCCCGTCGCCGTCCCACGTCTTCGCACCGCGCCTTCCCGCGTACGCCCTACCGCCGCTAGCCACGCCGCACTCAGGTAACGACTTTAAAAGCGTTTTTTTTTTAACTGTTTTATTACTATATCTAATGATTGAATTCAAATTAACGATATTGAAAAACACTCAAAAGAGTGTAATTTAATTTGAACTCTGACCCAAATTTCTTTGAATATTGTTTAGATATCTCTCATGTGCCCTGCAGAAATGCATGGACATATCTCAAAAACTACTGAATAAATAGATTTTGATAAAATTTGCCCCGTTACCTGAGTTGTAATATCAGATACGTTTCAAATACAGCGTTCATCTAGATACGACTTTTAGTTTTGAAAAAATTTGGAGACAGTCAAAGCTCCATTTCCAATTACAACAACTATTGTTTTGATTAACCATTATAATAAATTGCAGGTGTGAGCGCGCGTCACGACATTGGACGCCCGCCCCTTCGAAGGGACGTCTTCCTTTAAATTAACCGCCGGCATTTATTCTGTATCGCTATACTCTACGAGACCGTCGCGCGATCGGCCGGCACGGAATCCCGTCACGTCCCGTGCTGTAAACACGCTTCGCTTTCTCTAAGTAGTTAGATAGTAAATTAATTTTATTTGCTCGTTGGAACTTGACAGGGAACTATTCTATCGGCGCACTACGCACATCAATTCGTGAACTGGAAGTCAGAAATCTTTAAAAAATTGGTTTCCGATTCGTTTCTTACGTACACGTATGAACACGTAACGAAGTGCCGTGTGGATAGTTCGACGGACGGAAACAGCGGTTTTTGTTTTGTAATTATTATATGTAAGTATTGATTTGCAGGCGCGCCTGTCGAGTTCTGTCGAATTGATTGTATCGTTTATCGTTAGGACTTCAATATCTTGTTACATATTAAAATTATTTGTATGTGTGAATAACATTTATTTATACGACTAACGCAACGAACAGCAGGCCCCAGTTTCCTTAAAGTTTGACGCGCGGATCTTGAGCTACACGGGAATACAAATTTGGTTTAATAAAATACGCAGGCATTTGACGAAATTCTTAGTAAATTTTGATTTAGTTTCGATCAAAATCCGTGCAATTAACTAAATAGGAAGTAAATTATATTCGTGTCAATCGCGTACACTTTGAAGCTCGTGGATACGTAATGTCTGTGTACTTCTGATTCGGTCTTTATATCTTTATAAGTATCATGGCGTTGCATATGTTATGTCCAGTTTAGTTGGAGCTAGAGAGAGCTGTTCTTATATTGGAGTCCTTGGTTCTGGAAATCCTGTTTCAATTCTATAGAAAGTGTCATTGTGGCAGGCCAAGGGTAATTTTATATAACATATTACCTGGTAAGTAAGGGTGCATTCAAGTATTACGTAACGCATTGTTTATCCCTCCACGTAACGCGCCGTAACGTTTTACTGTAACCCCCCTCCCCCCTCTAGTAAAACATTACGTGACGATTTTACTGCGTTAATATTATTAAAAATGTTACGAATAGTTCAAAGACCCCCCTTCCGCCTCTGTAACGCATCGTAACGTCCCCCCACCCCTGATTCGTTACGTAACTTAATACTTGAACGCTCCCTTAATGTCTATATGAAACAATTAATTACAGTTTTCAATTAGGGAATGATATTAATGAGAAGCTCTCACTACAGTGGACACGGCGACATCTCTAGTTCTCTATGTACCTTATTACCGTATTTTTATACTTTTTTATATAATCGGTTCAGGCTTGAGATGTTTTACGTTTTTATAATCGTGCCTGCTTTGTGATCGTTAAGGGTTTAAGTTAAATTTTTGTGTATTTTCCTATTATTAGCGTATCCGTAAAATATTTTAGAAATAAATTGCGAATCGAATACGAAATCGAGTTCGTCGTCACTCCGAAGCCCGTTCGAGTGCACTTGGCCCGTTGTGATTCATTTTTTGTATAATTAATAGTTACGATAAATTACTTTTTGCTTAAGAGTTTAGATTTATGAATATTTTTATAGGCTACTAATAAGACAGTGCGCGGGTCCACTCGGACGGGTTCCATAGTCTGTGGTATTTCCCTTGAACGCAAAACGCTCGTGGTGTCGGCTGCGAAGTCTATTATTTTGTTTGCTTATCAACCTTATTCATGAAAAAATAAATCAGTCAATTGCACTGTTAAAATATTATATTTACACCTCTTTTCATCACAGCGTACACATAATTTGACAGAAAGAGTACTTTGGTGCAATTTGGCAGATTTTAACTTAAATTGTGAACGATAGTGGAATTTTCGCAATCAACAAAGTATATGATTACATTGTGTGAGATATTTAAACAACACATATAGTAAAAAAGTCAGAGAACCGACACCACGATGGTTTTTCTAAATTACATGTACTTATTTATTGTAAATAGTTGCCTGGCGCAGACCATAGTCTGGTGCCGCCCGGCCCTAATCATAGAGAAAGGACTCAGATGCCCTCGTAACATTGACCTCTCTCTAGAAAGAGATTGATGGGTCCAAATACTTTTCATAATTATTGTTTTTATTGTCTCCCTCACACGCCCCCTATTAACTCGATTAACACTCAGTCCATTCTCTATGAACATATTCACTAATTTTGACGTTTACTTGACATTCTCCTCCGTTATAGTCTATGTATCTTAGCGCAAAACATTTAGTGTAAATTGGATTACGAATCTAAGACATTAAACTTCAAGTTAAAAGTGGTCCCGTGCTGGGCCGCGGTTGTTACTGGCCACTCTAGTAGAACATGTCTGGACATGCCAGTCTAAGGGTTACAGCTGGGCTGCGCCAGGCCGCAGACCGACGTCCGTTGCCCGTACGTAGCCCTCGTGACGATGTTTCCCACATTGTAATACTCTCGGGCCCTGTTTGTGAAGTGTAAATGGTGACGTGTGCGCGACTGCAATGAGTTGTCCTCTGTAATAGAGATGTACTTTTTGTAACAAATCGTTTGTTTTATTTATTTCAACCCCATTTGTTAGCTTATAAATAAAAAAATCAGTGGCGCTACAACCTCTAGGTCTTGGCCTCAGATTTCTGAATCTGTTTCATGATAATTTTTAAGTCTAATAGGCAAGTAGGTGATCAGCCTCCAGAGACGACACACGCCGTCGACTTTTTGGGTCTAAGACATGTCGGTTTCCTCACGATGTTTTCCTTCACCATTAGAGCAAATATTAATTAATGCGCTCGTAGAAATAAAGTCCATTGGTGCACAGCCGGGGCTAGAACCTAAGACCTCAGGTATGAGAGTCGCACGCTGAAGCCACTAGGCCAACTCTGCACACTTATAATTAATAGCTTTTGAAAATTTTGATATAAACTATCAATATTGCTTTTAATTATGAAGTCAAAAGCTTATCTTGGTGTCTCGTATTTTAGTTGACTGATTGCGTTTCATAATTAGCAACTGGTATTGTGCATTCATTTATTAATTGATTTTGTGTTAAAGTATTTATATTTAAACCCGTTATGGGTTGATCGTAAATTGATCTCAAATTTCTCTTTATATAGTTTATAAAAAATGCATTGACTGCCAATATTTAAATTTTTTATAGAGCTATAGTTTTATTAATAACAAAACGTTTGATTATGTCATATGTAAATTATACTAAGTGAATGAATAATAAATTACATAAACAGATGTAATGTTAGAAGGAACGCGATCTCGGACACCTAACCAAGTTGGGATTAATATTCGGCCTAATAGAGGTCCTTATTTCGGTATAACAAATAGGTACTCTAATAGAATTACAATCACTTTAATGAACGTTCGAGAAATTCTTACAAGAACTTGTCTCAAATTACAGAGTTCCGTTGTAGGGATGGAATAAAGCCGTGGTTCTGAGCTCGAATCCCGGACAAGGTTTCGTAGGTATGTATGACGAAAGTCACGACATTGGAGGGACCAATGGGGCTGACATATTCTTTTTTTTTTAGGCATAAAACACGCCAGGGTTTTCACTATCTTAGCCAAATAGTTCAAAGCGCTTTAAAAATATATTAGTGCACAGGCCCATAAGTCAAACACTTCATTACGCCTTAAAAAGTGTACCCCGTGTCCCATTGGGGTGTAACTTTTTTACTAATATATCAGTAATAGTAAACAGGTTGAATCCTAAAAAAATGACGATTCGGGAATGAGTATACAGGTAAATTAGCTTGGAGAAATTTTTGCGTTTGTAGTAGTGTATGGTCAGCAAATAAAAAAAAAACAACATTTTATTTTTAGTTTTTATTTTTTTAAAGGTAATATACGTTTGTGGCTGGAGCACACCAAATGCGTACACGTCTACGCATACGCACTACGTACTAATACGGACGTGAAAATGTGTATCCACTGCATTGTAATCTATGGAACTGTATGAGGCAGATAAGCCAGTTCCAAATATTACAAGCAGTGAATGCCGGTTTTCACTTCAGTGAAGACGTGTATGAATTAGGTGTTCTCCGGCCATAAATGTTTTATTCTAATAATTCATCAACCCCAGGCATATCACAATCATCCCCATCCTCGCTTTCATCAGATGAATTATTTAAATTAATTATGATTCGTTCTGATATTGTGTCTAAAGCTGCGTCTCTACCCTGATATTTGTTTTCCTCCTCAATAGCATGCAGACAAACTTTTCTCCATTCCTCTACAGTTATGGCGTTCATTTTTTCTTCAGCTAATGACATTATAACCTTCATATTCATTGCGACATTCTTTTTTTGCGACATATGTTTTCACTATCCCCCATATATTTTCTATAGGATTAAACTCCGGATGGTATGGTGGTAAACGCAGCACAGTATGACCGTGCTGTCGTAATATTTCGTCTATCTTGTACTCTACAAATCTCGCCTTGTTTTGCAGAATCAGTTCATATAATTGAGGCTTAAGCAACGTGGATGAATGCTCAATGTTTCGCAATGTCAGCCAGTCAATCATTTGCTGTTTTCTAGAATTACTATTCGGTGCAGGATTTTGTATTGAGTTATGATATGGTGCGTTGTCAACAACAACAACACTATTTGGTTGTA